AAACCATCAAACAATCTGAACTGCGCGTATAAAGTACTCCAATGATGCTTATGTAGTTCTCAAGCTCGTAGTTCCTGATCGAACCGCTCCATCGATAGATCGAATCGAAGGCCCTGATGATGTTAAGGAACACGACTACGGTGGGTTGCCAATAAACATGGTAGTGTTCCAACCACTGACGTAATGTGAAGATGGTGTAAATGCAGCCTCGGCTTGCTTTTCACGAGCGCCAGTCACTGAAGTACGACAGAGACAAGTAAAATGAATGCGATGGAGATAAGGCTGATACCTCTATGACTCCCGTATTTCGAACGTCAGCCCTACTTAAGAATTGGGACAATCAGCGAAGTGTTCCAGTCGGCTCGGTCAGTTTCTTGTTCCCGCAGTTTCAATAATAAATTGTGCAAATATTCCACAAGAGCAAGTCCGAGAATTTTGAAGAACAGATAGTAAGAGACCCGGTGTTAGCCAGATCATATGTGAAGAGAGTGGGCGGCCGATCCACAGCTTATAAAAAAGCTTGGAGCGTTGGGCTGAACACTTTGCAAAAACGTTTAACCAAACTGAGTTATCAGTTTCATTTTCGGGCAATGAGTGCCCAACTCCCTGGGTCCGCCCTCACGCACAGAAGTCGAACGTTAGATCAGACCGTCGAAATTAAATAAGGTCGCAGAGGCAGATAGAAATCCTCCAGCGCTCTTCAAATTCGGGGGCAATGCTCTTGTAGATGATTTACACGAGTTGCTAGTGAAACTTTGGGAACAGGAAACTGTCCCGATAGACTGGAGCTGCTCCGTCATAGTCCCAATTATCAAGCGAGGCTCTCGTTCGGAATGCGGCAATCATAGAGGTATCAGTCTGATCTCATTTACCTCTAAATTGATTGCGTCTGTCGTTCTCCACAGACTGACTGGTACTCGTGTAGTCCAGATTCGCGAGGAGCAAGCGCGGTTTCATCGACGTCAGGGCTGCAACAACTATACGTAAACTTGGCGTCAATTGTTGTAGCACTGCCATATTGGCGACTCGCTGTTGTGTTTCATGCCATAATAAATGCCTTCGATTCGGTGGATCGATATGCCTCTTGGGACTGTCTGCTGAGGAAAGATGTACCCGTTAAATACGTAAACATTATCGGAGCGCTGTAAGCGCATACTTCAGGTAGTGATGGTTTATGTCAAACTGTCGCCGCTCTTCAATGTCTTCAGCGGTATAAGGCAAGGCTGCCCGCTGTCACCTTTACTTTTTAACTTCGCCATTGACGAAGCAGCGTTCGCTGGACAAGATCTGCAAGGTGTGGAGCTACTTCCTGGTGAGCGAATTCTTGACTTGAAGTATGCTGACAACATTGCCCCCAAACGTGCCAAGCGGCGCTGGACCGATTAACACTGGCTATCAATCGTTTTTGGGTTGTTTTGCTTCGTCGGAATCCAAGGTCCTTCTCCAAGATTGGCACGGACCGCCTCCTGCGTTGACCCTTGGTGATCAGCTAGAATTCGTTCATGAATCCAAGTTCCTGGGCAGTTATATTAGTATCCGTAGGATCGAAGATGAGATAACGTACCGTATAGCGAAAGCTCCAGGTAGTGCTTTTGCCAATCTTCACCATCTGTAGCGCAGACGCGACATCGCTCTTGCTCCGAAAGGCAGCCGTCCGTCCAACCCTGTTACATGGTCGTGAAACGTGGCCCATCAGGTCGACAGACATAAAGAGGCTCGTCACATTCGATCATCGATGCCTTCCCAGCCTAGCTCACGTCCGGTGGGAGCACCGCGTGAGCAATGAATGTGTTCGACGTTGCGTATTTAGTGCAGGAAGAGGGAGTGAACCGCTCAGCACCGTTATCTCACGCATCAGGCTCCACGTGTTGCGCATGCCAACACACCGATTCTCGCGACGTGCGCTGTTTGCGCGCCGAGGGTGCGGTTGAAAGAGGAGGGGAGGCCAGGTGATGACTTGGTGCATCCCGACTGTTTGGCTAGGCTCCCAAGGATGAGATACTTATGCGCTTTGGCGGACGCCCAGGACGATGTTGTGAGCGCATTGACACCGGTCAACTGGCGAATCCAGTTGTTCGGAATGCTTATCAAAGTACGCTGTTATGAGAGTTGGATAAACGCTCACTGGATGCAATTGAAGCTCACTGGTCTCATATTCGTCAGACCTTACTAGCAGCAGGAAAATCCTCATGTGGTATGTCTAATCGCCAACATGGACATTGGGTCTCTTCACAGTCTCTGGAACTCATAGATGCTCGCCGGCTGGAAGCGAACACAATGAAACTCGCAAAGACCTCCGGGCGAAACTCCGTGCTAGCCTGAAGAGAGACCGCGAATCCTGGTGGTCTAATCGTGCATCAGAGATGGAAATGGCCGCTGCCCTTGGCAACCATCGTAAGTTATTCCGGCTGATACGGGAAACGGGCAGCAGGAGACCTGATGTTAGTGAAACTATACGTGACGAGAGTGGACAGCCTATCCACAACTTATCAAAACGTTTGGAACGTTCGGCTGAGCACTTTGAAAGGTAATTTATTCGGTCGGAAATGTTAGATTTCTCGCCGACCAGTGATCGCCCTGCTCCGTGGGCTGTCCCCTTGGATCCACCCTCTCGATCAGAAGTCGAACATGAGATCAAACTGTTGAAGTTAAATAAAGCCGCGGGACCTGATGACCTTCCTCCAGTCCTCTTCAAATTCGGGGGACCTGCTCTTGTGGATGATTTACACGAGTTACTAGTGAAACTGGGGGAGCAGGAAACTGTCCCAACCGATTGGAGCCGCTCCATCATAGTCCCAATTTTCAAAGGAGGCTCACGATCGGAATGCGGCAGCCATAGAGGAATCAGTCTGATCTCCATCGCCTCCAAGTTGCTTGCCTCTGTCATCCTTCACAGACTGACTGGCACTCGTGAAAGCCAGATTCGTGAAGAGCAAGCTGGATTTCGTCGAGGTCGTGGCTGCATTGACCACATCTTCACTTTGCGTCAGTTGTTAGAGCACCGTCACACATATTGGCGGCCCACCGTAGTCGTGTTCCTCGATATCAAAGGTGCATTCGATTCGGTGGATAGACATGCACTTTGGGACTGTCTACTCAGGAAAGGTGTACCTGAGAAATATGTGAACATTATCCGAGCATTATATGCGCGCAGCTCGGGCAGAGTGAGGGCTTACGGCAAGTTGTCGCTGCCCTTCCATACCTCCAGCGGTGTGAGACAAGGATGCCTGCTGTCACCTTTCCTCTTCAACTTCGCTGTTGACGAAGTCATGGAAATCGCGTTCACAGGAAAGGATTTAGAAGGTGTGGAGCTACTCCCAGGAGAACGACTTCTTGACTTAGAGTATGCTGAAGATATTGCCCTGATCTGTGACAGCTCACAAACGTGCCAAGCGGCACTGGACAGATTAGCACTAGCTGTCCGTCACTTCGCTCTTTGCTTCGCGCCCTCGAAGTGCAAATTGTCCCTCCAAAATTGGTCTGGACCGCCTCCTACGCTGACCCTTGGTGGGGATCAGCTAGAAGTCTTTCAAAAACTCAACTACGTGGGAAGTTGTATCAGCGCCGGTAGGATTGAAGATGAAATCACGAGTCGTATAGCAAAAGCTCGGGGCGGTTTTCCTAACCTTCGCCACTTATGGCGCCGGCGCGACATCACTTTCGCCCTGAAGGGTAAAGTGTACAATGCAGCAGTACGTTCGATCCTACTGTACGGTTGTGAAACCTGGCCGTTTAAAGCAGCGGACCTGAAGAGGCTAGTTACGTTCGATCACCGGTGCCTTCGCAATTTAGCTCACATCTGGTGGGAACATCGCGTGAGCAACGAGCGTGTTCGACGCCTTGTTTATGGCACAGGAAAAGGAAATGAACCGCTCAGCACCGTTATTTCACGCATCAGGCTGCGATGGCTCGGCCACGTGTTACGCATGCCAGCCCACCGACTCCCGCGACGTGCGTTATATGCGCGCCGGGGGTGTGTATGGAAGAAAAGGATGGGTGACCAAGCGATGACTTGGTCGAGAGGAATGAAGGCCAGCACTTTTGAGCTGGCCTCGGTTGAAGCGTCTCGGCTCCTTGGTTTGGGTCCGAAAGAGGATGAACACGTTTGGTTGGACACACTTGGCTAGAAGCCGACCTCAGTGGCGTTCGTGCTGTGAGTTTCTTTGTCCCACCCCATCCCTCTTAGCCTCCCCCTCCAACCACGATCTCATTATTTAGCCTTATATAATCTTGCATAATATTTTTTTTCTTTTTGGGTGCACAGCAGCCGGCTGGTAGCTTACCGGAACGATGCCCATCCGTTACCGGTAGCTCAGCCAGCTTGCACCAGTTGCTTTTTTCTCCTTTTTTCTATGTATTGCGGCACAGTAGCTGAGGTGTTCCCCACCTAACATGTATAATGATGATGATGATGCGATACATGTTCGGTTGGACACGCTTGCTGATATGACGAAGAGCCGACCCTAATGGCGTTGGTGTTGTGAGTTCCTTTGCCCATCGCCTCCCATTTAGATTCCCCTCCAATTATGATCTCATGCGAAATTCATAATGCCCATTATATCACGTTTTCTGAATTCTTCGTGGTGTGAATATTCAGTATCTTATATTTCTTGTATTGCGGCACATTACCTGAAGTGTTTCTCATCCTCAGCTAATGTGTGTTGTTGATATTGAATACTACCGCTTAAAACGACAGAGTTCCAGCAGTACGCATGGATCTGCTCTATATTAAGGCCACACCAATCTTATAAAACTACCCGCATCGATATGCACATCCGCAGCCAAGTTTGATGTCGATGATTGGGTTGAATACCACAGAACTGGTGTCGTGTTTCTGATCCGTTATTATAGTCAGATCGACCTACGTCGTAGTGGAATGCAAGTTGGTCGACGGAAGCCAAGAACTAGCCGAGGACTTGTGCTTAATACGTCATTTAGACCAATAACAACGGTAGAGAAACAAGCCGCAATCAAATACGGTCCTCAGAAGATGAGCTTACCGCGGTCTCGTTCGTTCCATCATCCGGACAAATAATGTCTTTTCCTTCGAACTGCGCACGAGCACGGGCTGCAGCTTCCATTGCAATGACATGTGGAGCCGGTCCCAGGCTTGCGGCAGCGATCGGAGCACTGGCTCTAAACCGCTGAACCAATGCGGTCAGCTCACGGCTCAGGCAACTGCGCGCTGCAGTGTTAGTGGATGGAATCTGTAACATGAGGGCCAACTGTTGTGGGTCCAAATCGGGATGTAAACCAATTAATCCTCCGTGAACACCAGATCCGTTTAAATTGCTCGCGTATTCCTTGAGGCCGATGTGTTCCAACCACGCTTGCACCCGTTCGCAGGACCACACAAGTAGATCTGTAAATGAAATGTTGGGCACGCTTAAGAGTACAGGTGCAAAACAATATAGGCTGATGGCGTAGGACCAATGTTGTTATTCTTAGTAGTATTTGACCGTGTATATGACCAGCAATATAAGGAGTAGACATGGAGCCATAGAAAAAAACATGGGAATCAATGGGAAGTACAGTTAGGAGAAGTAGAACGAAACATTTTTTTGCTTGCTTTCACAGGCCGATTATTTTCTTATGTTCTATGCTAAAAGTATTAACATCATAAAACCGCCCCACTGCCCTACCCATAATACCCGAGACCGGTCAAAATGACCGCATCACTGTATTTGTTTATTGCAACTTTATTTCTAAATTTTTTAATTAGATATATTAAAAACAAGGTTTAAAAATATTTGTAATCACAAAATATTTATATTGAACTTTGCATAATTGCATCTACCTTTTCAGATATACGTTTGAAAGAGGAGAGGATAAATATCGTAATTTGTCTACGTGAGCCACAAATTATGGTTTAATCTACAGAGCACTTGTTCTCTGATTTGTTGCCTTTGCAGTAACCAGTCTTAAACTGTCGACATTTACTTATCTCGCGACTCTGGCTGGGCTGAAATATATTTGGCGTATGTCCGGTAGTCACGATCCTTGTCTGATACATAGGTCCACGCAGTTCTTCCATAAGACTCATCAGATAGGACCGGAGGGATAATTCATTTTCAGTGACACTTATAACTTATCCAGGAATCAATGCCTGCCAAACTTAACACGCTAAAGAATACCTATACTGGATGTCGTCGAGATGATGACTTGATAGTGAGCGTTCTTGTTATTTGGTCAAGTCCATATAGCCCATACTTTGTGGGGTTGAAAAACAATACACTCTCATGCTTCCTCTCTCCTGTATCGAAGACTGACTGAAAACTCAGCTTGACAAAAGCTGATGGGGTTTAACGATTCGGAGGATATTCCTTGCCGATGGAGCCACCAGCAGAAGTACGGCTACAAAGGTAGATGAAATCATCTACCTGTTCGATTTGTGCACCACTAACGGTGAGCACAGGAACGGGTGTGGGCCATTTCTGGAGCAGTCCTTTACACTTTGAGGAGGTAAAGCACATGCTATACAAAGATACTTCAATCACAAAACGGCTCAGAATCAGTTGCATACTCTGCGATATTATCAGCATAATCTTGATCGGTTGTGCAATTATTTGGTAGAAGTTCTACGTCAAAATTTTAGAAGTTTTCGGTGGCCCTTGACGGAACGACTTTGACTGCAGAATTGAAGAGTAGCGAGGAAATAGGGCAGCTATATCGCAGACTGCTATTGACAGCAGGCGAGAAAATTTCACCGTAAACAATCATACTTCATGACGTGAAGAAAAAGTGCACGTAGGAGCAGACTTCTCTGGGATCCCGTTCTTTAGCAAGCAACGCCATAAAGTAGATCGATTAACAGGATCAAACGCAGCCCGTATGTCTACGAATGCAGCGGTGGTGGACCTGTGTTAGTAACAGAGCGTGAAGATTTGGTCTACGCATCCACGGCCGGTATGGAAACCAGCTTACTCTTCACGGTAGTATGGTTCGGTTATTGGGTATAGTCCGCAAAGCAGAATGAATGCCAATATCTTAGAAGCAACCGAAATGATACTAATTCTTCGATGATTGACACATGAAGCGAGAGTGCCTTACATAGAAATCGGGAAAATTACAGATCTGCCCCAAGAGGAATGCACTTTTTCTTCATGCCAGATTTTAGAGAACAATGGGGTTAGCTGGTTAATAACAGCTAAGCTCCGGAAGAAGTCCGATTGAGCTAATAGCCTCGAGTCACTTCAAGTGTCGAATGTCGAGGCAGACTTCCGTTTCGCTAAGTGGATCCAGTGGAGCGGTCCAAGGTAGGCAACTGAGTATACTGCCCGCACGGATAGACGGTGGACGCCAGTTGAACTGCGATCCAAACGCTTCCGCTGGTTGGTGATCAGAGACCAATGCACCTCGCAAGTAACTTCACTGACACCAGGATTCCTGAGGCCAGTGGACCGAATTAGTTAGAAAAGCTTACGAGTATTTGCCAGAGAGGGCAATGGTCTCAATTTCCAAGGCTCAATGAGACCACCAAGGCTCGCGATGGTTGCGCAGTCCTTGCTTGGGCACTGTTTGACAAAACGGTGCCGCACGTTGTAATCCGATTCTGCCTGGATATCTTACGGTGGTCGGACAGTTCCAGAGAGTGAGTAATGATTCAAGCATTTGAAGGGCGTCGAGTTAGACCGCAGGTTGATTGTCCGGAAGTGATCCATTGTCTTCTGTTTATAAGTTCAGTGTTAATCAATGCTTTTCCGTGGATTGCGACTGAGTACATCTGCCAGTGAAAACTGATTGGTCACTTGAGCTTAAGCTGATTGCAAGGTGGTCAATTTAAGATCACGCTTGTGTTAGAGAAGTGAGATGCCAAGTTGAAGAACGTTTTTTCGTAAGTCTGAAGCGGATGCTCTTCGCATAGTGTGAAAATCTTGTCTCCCTTACCCGAGCGGTCCTCATCGAGAGCGTGGTAACCACCAAGGTGACGTCCGCATAGTAACAGGTGGCCAGCATATGTATTGGAACCCCCAGCAAAAACCACATCCGGTTCATTGGCGTTGCTAAAAAAAGATAGAAGTCGCCCTTGACCGAGTCACGACTGCAGTCGGTTGGAGTGTGCGCTGAGATAACAAAAATGTTAGGTCTCCCCTTGCGACATCTGTTGTTTAAACATGAACCCCGAACCGAACGGCACACGCTTGGCTATTAATCAGGAACCAGTCCAGTCGTGCGGCAATGCAACTTAGTGCTATACATGCACCAGCAAAACCCGCTAGGACTGCGTCTGGGTCGTTAGAAAGGCGCCGGAGATGTGGCTTTGTTGTTAGTGAGGTATGTCAAATTGCTCACAGTGCTGGAGTCCTGCAACCGGGTTTCAGAATGTCAGGATGGAGGGACTACGGGGGTACGCCCGTGATTGGTTTGTTGCCCAATCTGCATGAGTGGCGATACGATGAAGCACGCCAGACGGATCGAGGTTGAACTCCATGGTGCGCGTTACAATCGGAATCAAAAGCAGATCCATGAACTCAGGTAATGGATAATAGTGTTACCTTATGAACGGTTGGCGTGTGATGTATGAATGTATGTGATGTATGAATGTAATATGCAAAAACAGCAAGATGAGCAAAATGCAGAACGGCCCATGAGAAAATCGGGTGCGCGACCAATCATAAAGTATTATTACCGCCACTGAGTCATTCGTTTCGTGCAACTGAAGCGACTGCGGATCTAAGCTTCCAGCGACATTTCGCGCATCTCCGAACGGCGCCGATTGAGAATTTGAAACTAACCCTCGCTACAAATGCTCTAACTAAAATGATAGATGGCGCATTGTGGTTTCATAATTTGCTACGGTGGGATTGTAATGGAGCGGAGGAATATGCGCTGACCAAGCTGTACCACAATGCTGGAAGAGGTAGACAACCGTCTTAGGCCAACTGCGGCCAATAAAAAGCAATGAAGTGTCGCGCACATGTATGGCAAGTATGCAAGGTTCCGAGACACAATCTTCGCTTAATACACTGAGTGATATGGGGGTGTGGTTGAATGCCTGGACAAACCAAAGCGAAAAATACACAAAAATGGAAATCATTCTTCCCGTTGCGGTTTACATGAACAAGTATGAGATTATAAACAGTGGCTGCGCTTTGCAATGATGCGCGCGAGTGTGGGCTGTACTCTCGGTCATTTACTAGTGCCCCAACCACCGTTGTTCAAATCCCATGCGGCATCACAGTTTAGAGACATATTAGTCGCAATTAAGTAGCGTAAAGCGTCGACCCTAAGGTACCGTGAAGCTACTGGACCAGAGAGGCAATGTATCAACCGCACGAGAATACCTGATACCGATGCTTCGCTACCCCGTGTGGCCAATAGCAGTCGCATGTTGACTAGGGGCGCTGTGCTGTGAAGTCGCTCGCACCTACGCGGAATCAAACCGATAACCTGTGTGTAGGGTATAAGTCAGACGCGCGCGAATCACTCGATTATCAACCGACAGTCGCCGTGAGAAGGTATTGAGGAAACGTCTTCCAACCAACCGCTAAGGTGTCTCTAATGCAAGGTATATTTACTTTCGCTCGATGCACTTAAAACCTCTGGCTCTCTTCCGAACCACTGACACTCACAAGTTACTTATATGGGTTGAGTGTAGACAACAATAGCAGCGACCATAAAGCAAAGAAAGCAAACCTGGCTTAATTAAAGTAAATGAGTGGAGCCTAAGACGCCAATACAGTGAGACCAGTAGAAGAATCGACCTATAGTGCAGAACCAACAAGGCGATCTGCACGTAGCTGCCATTTCTCAAACTGGCAACTGACAGGTATGGCTATGAAGTATGATGTGTCATCATTTATCGTTGCATAGCTATTGACTATACTGGAAATGATACAAGCATTTTATGAAGGATTGGTCTGGGATTTTCTCAATGCAAGAAGGCCGAATGCGTTCCAACTCAAAGAAAAATCACATCAGGAAGCAAACAAGTAATTCAGAAAACCCTAATCTCCATCAGATATGATGACATCGGAATGAGATTATTTTCAGGAAAAGCAATTAAAGTGAGGACCACGCGGCGGGAATTGTCAGAAAGAAGCGTATTGAAAAAGCATAAACAATATCTTACCGATGCTGTCTGGCTGTGAGGCTTCTCGCTGTCTTCTCTCTAACTCAACGCGGTCATAATTTATGCGCTTCAGACATACAATGCCGTAGAGTAAACTGGTCCGGTGCAAGCTGTCAACCATCTTTAAATGTGTGCGCAAATCCCGTTTGGTAAGATGATCCAGCATGCGGGCGTCCACAAGACATTCCATGAACGCGGGGCGATATTGTGCCAGACTCAAACTAGGGAGCCAGACGTTGCCCACCCACTCATGATTCATGTCCCCAAAGGCCAAACGACTAGGGAAGAGGAAGAAATAAAAGAGACATTTGAGGCGCCAAAGCCCAACGAATAGGTTCGAAGTGACGAAAATCCGAAGTATTTGGTGGGTTGGATAGACTATACACGCAGAGTGTATCGAGTAGATTAGCTATCCCGATGAACTAATGCATGTTAAACGTTCCAATGTCCGTGGATGTAACCTGGATGGATCATGGAATAAAGTGAGATAAACCAGGCATTTACAGACCCTGTCCTCCACACTTTAGGGTCAAGGTATAGATATGCTTGTCAGAAAATTTTCGAAATATAAAAAGCAAATGGAGAGCCGAATGAAAATGCAGTAACCTAAACAGAAACCCGAAGTCACAGTTAGTTGGTTGGACAGATTCCGCTACGGTATTCAGACTGAAGTACGACACTTGAGATAAAAGTCACTGAAAAAGCATCGCCCTTGCTCACTGTGGTGATAAAAAAGCAGTGTCCAACAAGGGATGATCGAAGTGAGATCCTTAGGTAGAGCGACATAATCGAAGCAGGTGAACAGAGCAGTAAACTGACAGGGTGAAGGAAACTAAGCCCGGTAATAAAATACATAAACCAAAGCTGAACGCTGTCACTGAAGCATCAAAGCATGCTTCAGTCGGATTATCAACTGGGATCCCTTCACCAGACTGCGGCGGCTACAGCAGTGAAGAGGACGGAGACGTGTGTTGCTGAAAAGATCACGGTGATCGGATAAAATTAACCTGATGATACATGCATGTAAAGCAGGGCAATCAGTACAGCACAAATAGAGACAGTAGCAGAGGTGCAGAAGCCAGTCCCGTGGCCGAACAGTACTCTGAGATAGACGACCACTTACGATGGCACTAGAGGCCAAAAGTCGGGAGTTGATCCTAGATGAGTAAGAAGTGCATTAAAATGGTTGGCGGCATCCGGTTCCGGATTTGCCTGTTACTGCGGCCACCAAGGAGACAGTCACAGGACGCCTGTGCCTACAGAGGGACCATGGGTGGCTTGCGCTGCAGCACCCACAGCTCCATCCACACATTCCATATCCAGTGTAAACCCGGAGGCATATGGATGCTGACACCACACACGAGCAATCCTACGCAGGCAAACGCTGTCGTTTCATATCCTCCAAGCGAATATGTCATACAAGAGGATCGGGGATAACAAACAGCCAACATAGAATCTGAAGAAAAAATAAACACGCAAATTTAACGCGCATTATGCAGCAGAATAACAGAACTGAGCAAAGCAAATAAAGTGGAATACATAGCATCCAGATTAAGACGATCTAGTCGGTGTAGCCTAACTACGGTGAAGAAGCATGATGTATGCAACATCAACCTCCGCATGAGGCACCTGCATCAAACTATCAACTATAATAGATCACACGCCGTTAAGTTAATAAATTTTTAGGCGCTCAGCCAATGATGGGAATCGATACAATCCAGCTGACAAGCGCATATACTGTGGTCCAGACGGAATTGTGATGCTAACATAAGCGGCAGATGAATGATGGCAGTGTAATAAGTGAAGAACAAGTAAATCTGAGTGGAAAAAGGAAAATCGCAAAATGAAAAATGTGGAAAAATTCGGGGAGGGGAGTACACGCAATGTTTCGTGTGTATGATTCCCATCGAAAATGAAACAAATGGAGGTGATAGAAAAAATGGAAGTTCCAAATGAAATGAAGTAGGCGAGAGATCCACGGGATAATGGAAATAAATCGTAAGGAATGTAACGACCACCTCCAACCCAAATGTTCAACACTGTAACGAACACTTTAACAACTGGTCACTTCTGGCTTACTTGTCTAGCCTTATCGGATTATATTCCACCGCCGACAACTCACATCAGTTCACCTAATGCGTTTCCACGATGTCTTATGATTCTGAGTCTCCGTCCCCGCTTTGATCAACTACGTCCGCCGCACGAGCACGCATCTAAACATTTCATGTGCCGTGTGGTTGCATGTACTATACTAAGCCCGCTCGTTGTACTGATTCCATCAAGTCCGATCGGGCACTATTGATTTGAGGTGCTTTGTCCAAATTAGTTTGCAGCTGTATGTTTTAGAATGCACCTGGTACAACAAGCCTATTCTTACGTGCCTCGCCTTGTGCACGATTCGTGATGCCTCGGTTACGATCGTATTGGTCGGTGCCACTTGTGAATTCCTTTTTATGTATCTGCTCCACACAAGCTGTGCAAGGCACTGATTGGACATCGTTGAGTTTTGCTCTGCTTAATACTTTGATGTTCTCTCGAAGAAAACCAACCTTGACATTTGAAGTGACCCGGTAGCTACATGTGTTACTTAAGGTCCATAGACGACTTGTGTCTTGCACAAGCGCCACTCGGATAAGGACGTATGTTGGATGAATGAGGGTGAGATCAAAAGACAAAAGATACCTAACGGGGTTGAACGCATTCACTGGCATCAGTCGTCGTAAAGAATTCACAACATACTAAATAAGCGCAGCAAATGAATTGAAAACAACATAACCAGCCAGAGGAAGCGCAGTCTATGTAACATATGTACCTGGTACTAGGTTTTGGTAGTGGCGTCGGCGAGGTTATCGCGACCATATCCTGAATGGCGAGACGGAGCTTCAAACGATGTAGTGGATTGCTGATTCCAATTTCACGTTGTATCTCTTGTTCCGACAGTGAAGCCATGATTGCTCCCGACTTGACATTGGCACGACAGGCGGCAACATACCAAGCGGGCATACCAACCCATAGCTTAAAATAAAGGAAAGGAGTAAACGAGGAACAGAGCAAATGGGTTGTCATGGTTGGAGAAGAGAACGTTGTTAGGAAAGGAGATTTGGGGTCAGGTGCCGATTAACTATATATGTTACTGCGTTAGTTTTCGTTGTACTCATCAGGGCCAGAGTCGATGGAACTCTAGAATACGTTGGTGGCGCTTAGCTAGGTAGTAACGCAAACCGAGGCTCATGTGAGGAAAAATGAAAACCCAACTCTCCAAAGGTTGGTAGACTTACACCACATGTCAACGGAGCCAAGAAGCACAATACGCAAGGGCGCAAACAAATAGCGATCGGTTTATTAATTGAATATCTATGTGGTGCACACAAATTACACTAACTATACAACTGCGACCACATTCGTTGGAAACATGGCAAAAGATGATTGTGCATCCCAACAGCAGACATTTTGATGCAGTTATGCTTTCAGTGTTCAAACGTGTGCACCCATGGTATGATTATCATCAGAACACGCAAAACTAAAAGTGAGAAACAACTCAGCTATTATGTCCGAAGGCGAGATAAAAAGGAATGATTACAGTAAACAGAAGCAAAAAGGATTTTCAATATTTAATGCTTCATGAGTGGGATTGTATGGGGAAGATAAGGTAGGCTTCTCAAGATGTGTATCCAATCAAACATTTTCATCGCCTTTCGGACCAGAACCCGACAGTAGGGAAACGCCAATCGACGTCAAGTTCGAAGTGATGAACGTTATTTCTCTGGACCAAATCATCGCTTGGCCCCTCTTTCTCTTCCTCCACCCATACCCTAGGCGCACAAACAACGCACATCGCGGGAGTCGCTGTGCTGGCATGCGCAACACGTGGCCCAGCTATCGGAACTGGGCGATTCACTCGCTCTTACTTCACTAAATACGCGACGCATAACACGCTCATTGCTCATGTGGTGATCCCATCAGAAACGAGCTGAGCTGCGAACGCACCGATGATCGAACGGAACTAGCCTCCTTATATCTGTCGGCTTGATGGACCAGGTTTCGCAGACGTACAGGAGGGTTGAGGGTACCGCTGCATTGTATGCTCTGTCCTTCAGGGCGGGAGTGATGCCGCACCGGCGCCACAGGCGGCGGAGATTGACAAACGCGTCTCGAAATTTTGCTATGCAGTTTGTGATCTGATTCTCCATTCCACTGACACTGATGTAGTTGCCTAGACACTTGAACTTCTCGACGACTTCTAGCTGATCACTAAAATGGGTCAGCGCAGGGGTGGGTCCCTGCCTGTCTTTGAGGACTTTGCATTTCGACTGTGTAACGTATAGCCCGAAACCGATTAACAACCAGTGTTAATTTGTCCAGTGCTATTTGGCACGTTCGTGAGCTGCCACAGATGACAGCAATGTCGTCAAGAAGTCCATCTCCTAGGAGCAGCTCCATGTCTTGCAGGTCGTGTCTAGTGAACACAGTCTTTATGACTTCCTCAATGGAGAAGTTAAAAAGAAAAGATAACAGCGGACAACCTTGTCTCAGACCGCTGGAGATATTGAAGGGCGATGACAGCTTGCCTTAAGTCCTCGCTTTGTCCGAACTAGGCGAATAAAGCGATCTAGTAATGCTCACGTATTTCCGAGCACAACTTTTTTGAGTAGACAATATAACAGGGCACGTCGATTCACCGAATCGAAGGCACCTTTGATGTCAAGAAACACTACTATGGTGGCTTGCCGATAGATATGGCGGTGCTCCAACAAATGACGTAATACGACGATGTGATCAATATGGTGACGAAACGTGGAATGCTACTCATCAATCTGGCTTTCACAGGTGAGCAAATCTATGAAGAAGGACAGAAACGAGTATCCTGGAGGCAGTTGCGATCAGATCATTGCGGCATTGGGAACGTGAGCCCATTCAAAAATTGGGACCATTACGGAGCGTCTCCAAACTGTTGAAACAATTTTCTGCTCCCACAGCTTCACAAGTAAGTAGTTGTGCAGATCATGTACAAGAACAAGTTCCCCGAATTTGAAGAGAGCTGGAGTAATTCTATCCGCTCCTGCGGCGTCATTTACTTTCAACAGTCTTATCTCACATTCGGCTGCTGAGCGTGAAGGAAGGGACGTCTCAGATAGAAGGGCGATCGATCGCCGATGAATAGGCTGGCAACTGGTTGGATAAGCTACCTATCAAAGTATTCCGCCCAACGTAGTTTTCCAATGTGGATGTTCAGATCGCCAGCCAGCACCGCAGTATCCGTACTATTTCTGTAACGAAGGAGCGCGTTGAGTTAGTGATAAAATTCATCTTTAACGAAATCAGCGGTACAGTTTTTGAGCGCGTAGGCCGAGATGACAAACAGGCACCGTTTGTCTACGCGCGACCTCGAAGCTCTTGAGGAGCCAACCAGTCAGACGGTGCACATCCGGCTGTTCACTGGGATCCCGTCAACCAGGGCAGCTTCAGCGCGGGGACCCAAAACAATGCTCACGCCGCCTTGAAGCTGCGTTACCTCCAGACAAACGCAATGAGAACGCGCCGCCAGTGTCGCATGTGGGGTATCGCATGATAGGTACGGAAATCGCGTCTTACAGACAGTTTCCGATAAGTAGCAGATGTCGATCGATAGTGTAGTGTTCGGGCAAGTTCTGCCTGTTGGCCAATCTGTAGCAAAGTGCGCACGTTGAGGCTTACCAGTCTTAGCGAGGATCGAGGACTCTAAAGGGAAACGAATAAACTGATATCGTCCGCTTGGTTGAACCTAGGTTTGTCGACTGGATTGCAGCGACGCCCTGCGATTGTGTGAGTTTAAACTAGAAGACAAGCGGTTATTGACGCAAGATGGAGGAGGTCAAAGAATTGGGGGTAAGTGGACGGGAAGATTAGAGCAGTAGCGTACAAACCCCTGCTCACCTTGCTCGATACAGCAGCTAGGGCGCCGTTGATCACCTTCCGCGACAGCCAGAGCATGTGGGGAGAAGCCCATAGAATTGCATTTCGCGGACCGGGTACTGTCAGGTCACCCAATAATAATAAGAATAAGAATAATAATGTGTCAGCTGTACGCCGTAACGGCGCTCCGCTGCCGTGCGACCACCACCAGTTGCACGCGGGCTGAGTATACCGCGAGGACGCCCATCCCTACGCGGATTCGAACCCGCGCCGCAAGATTACGAGACAAGCGCGTTACCTCTACGCTACGGGCCGACTCAGATTACCCAGGCCTAGGGTTCTAAACCAAAATCTTTGGTTCAAAAAGCTGACGGTAAGGCAGCGGGGTTTCGGCGCTGAGCTACACAGTCCGTTTTGTTTCGTAAGGAGCCACCCTCACTCTAACACTTACCAGGAGACAGAGTTGGTCCGGCATCTAACCACTACCCAATCTGACACGAGTGGCTCTGAAGGCGAAAAAATCACCACACAGCATAGCTCAAATGATCTCTAAGGCACGCAAAGCATCGCATCACCTTAAGGTCCAATTTAGACGCGATGACAACAACACCGTGAGGACCAAATATCCTAGTTTCGGATATACAACGCACGTCAATTTTGGCCAATGTTGCCGAGAAGATCGTGGAGAACCGTGTACTACAGCTGCTCCATTCAAAAGATCTACTGACGCTCGCGTAGCACAATTTTATGCTAGGCCGTTAATACATTACCAATCTGTTGGTGACAAGGCATGAATGATTGCAGGCAGTAAATCAGGGGAAGTCTGTCGATGTAATTTACATCGATTTCAGTGAAGCGTTCGACAAGGCAAACCATGAGGTCCTTCTCCATAAGCTCAGAGTGTGTGGTGTTGGTGGATCACTGCACCAGTGGGTTCAGGACTTTCTCGTTGGGTGAAAGGGGAGGGTACAGGTCAACTGACATTCCTCTACTAGTGGAGTACCTCAAGGCACGGTTCTGGATCGCACTCTGTTCCTAATTCACATCAACGATCTACCTCAGCTTATTCGGTCGCCGTTAACCCTGTTTGCGAACGACGTGAAGATTGGGAAATTAGCATCCCAGACGACTGCAGCATACTTCAGCACGATCTCAACCGCCTCTCTCTGTGGTCTGCGGAAGTCCACCTCGTAGTCAACCCATCCAGGTCGGTATTTATGAGCCTGGGGAAGAGTGGCGATGGCCGCAGTTGCAGCATTGACGGCCAACCGCTACAGCCCACATCTTCCGTGAAGCACTCTCGGGTTGCGATTTGAAGTCTGTTGACAACACGAACAGACTATATCGTAACGGACTGTGAATGCTCTGGGCGATCAAGCGCAGCTTCTGTATTGGTCTGAAGAGGTCGCCACTTGCCTCTTCTCTTCCAATATAAGACCAACACTGGAGCACGACTCATCTGCCTACTACCCAATCACCCGAGGCGACGCAAAGACGATCGAACGGATCCAATACGTCGCTACCAAGCATATTCCAGGTTTACGGAAATTATCGTACGAAGATCGGTGCGAAAAACGGACTCTACATCTTGTCCTATCGTCGGGTGCGAGTCAATCTCATCATGACCTGCTGTATAGTACATATTGGTGACCTCCCCATGTTGAAGCCGCTGCTTCACTTGTGAACGCTATGCAACACAGGCAGACACTGGTACAACCTTGTGGTGCTGGATATAAAACGATTACCCCACCCCCTGTGCTTCGAACGGAGATTGGTAAATGTTTGGAACAGTCTGACAGAACAACTCGTGGAGGCGAAAATCAACAGTTCAAAAGTTATTGGATTTATACTTCAGCCCCATTCGATTCAGAGAACGATTGTGCACCAGCAACGGCATCTTGTGTTTGTGAAACCTGTGAAACTGCAAGTCAGATATTCTAAAATGCTACATAAGAACTTGTCGAGCGATTCGATTATCACGGAGTGCAGACACTTTTTATAATATTTTTGTCTATATTGCGATGGAGTTGTACAGATTTATATTTCTACTTGCTCCCACATACAGTATTCAGTATTCTGGAGGACCGGGAGACTGAGTTCGTCTGACCTGTAACCGGTGACCGACCTGGTAGGAGTAGCTCTCAAGGGACCCGATGGCACCGCCCAGTACAACTCAATGGGTCAAAGTCGTACGCAAACCGTCGCACCAAGTTAAGGTCGTCTCGTTGCGACGGCCATTAGGCGATAACTAGCCCCCATGCAACCAATGATGAAAATGTTGATAAGGAGAGCCACATTTTGTACGTAATTTGTATAACCGAAGTGCAAGGTGCAGCTGCGGGGCAGGATAGGCACGTTGCCAGTTACCGTAGTTATTAGTCCTTTGAAGTGCGGTTAAGTTCGCGTGTCAAAGTAGTTGCATTGCTTCAGGTTGTGAGACTACGATAGGCGTTCGTAAGAATGGAATTGAAATTACAGCACAGAATCGGGGTGCCATGGATTCGGATGCATAAACTCACGTAGCCGAAGTAAAACAAGCGGCGTAAAACGAAAAAATACCACCACGAGAAATGCTAACAGTGGTGGGTAAGGGTTAAGAGCCGAAGGCAAGGGAGAAGAGCAATGTCGCCAGTGAGATAGCAACCGAAGCATGATGGATGATGGTACCCAAATGTTGGTTTTGCCGACCACAAGAACCTAACTCAGGAGGACACACACCATCTTAATCCCATTTATTTGTGGAAGCAGAAACATACAAATGTAACAGTCGGAGTTGAGATTCATAGCGCCATGCTGCAACTGGCGTTCGTATGAATCGAAGGTGGGGTCGAGATTTGTCAAATCTCTCGAACACCTGCACACGCGTAGTGCTGTTCAAGCATGGTGGAAAAATAGAGTGGATTGATACGGTCTGTCTAATGAAAAGAAACAATGAATCGGATGACGTCTCACTGGGCTATCTGCCTTGCTTAAGCCACGATTTCTTACATCCGAGTTGGGTGGTCAGTTGATAGTCACAAAATGGTGTTAATAAACTGATCGAAACATCAAACTGTGCCGACCGTATCTTTATTGGATGGGGGTATCGTAGTTAACAGTTCGGTCGAGGGAAGTGCAATGCGACACCATGCGGTCGAGAGGCTAACACTGTTTTTGCACCAAGTCTCCCGTTATTGAATACCAGTTCTTCAATCTGACGCTCAGTGTCCGGTGATGGTTGGTTCTTCCGCTTCGATTGGTCTGTGCTAATCCTTCCTATCATGACGATGAGAACAAAGACAATTTAACCCCTCGAAATCTGATATTATGCCGGTAACCGATAGGACTAATCGAACTGAGCAGAGCATAACATACTCCTGCCTGTCACGGAAAAGTCACGCGCCGAATAGTTCATAGTGTGAGGACTGACACATACAGCTCATTTCGATACATGTTGATCATAAGCCACTATAAGCGGGGCGCTGTGACGTCTGCAGGTTGAGTAGTGGGTGAATAAATATGTTACGAAAATCGATAACACTCGATATGTCTTAAATGAAGGTGACTTTTATGGTAGCATTAATCCATGTGAATAGGACATCCGATCTATGAAAAATTGAAAAAGAATCACACATTTGGACAAGCGGATGATAGTTCGTAGACGGTCTTACATCATAGTACGGAGAGCATTGCCGCTCTTTGAGCGTGGGGCGTGGACCCTACACAAACGAGGCGCAAACTGATCGCTACAGAAGCGAACGCGGCGAGGAAAACGTGTGATCAGAAACATCCCCAGGTAAGGCAGAGAGCACAGGGACAATGGCTATTGGCGAAGTGTAGACCAAAAGAGCACCAACAGCAGTTAACAATTTGACGGGAGTCATATTCGAGAATATGATAAAAGGTATCGAAAGGGCAAACTACGCATACACGTGGTTAGAGGATTTAGCGCGGGGATAGCACAAACTGCGCTGCTCCGAGTAGGAAACAGCTGCAAAACAAAACGCCAATAACAGCAGCAGCCCAGACAGTGGTCATGTAATTAGGCCTACTTCGAGCCAAGCGACAACCGTAGGTCCATTCCATTGGGCGAAGGGTAAACGAGTCATCATTGCATTCTCTAATAACTCTTCCTTCTTCCATCGCCGGCGTTCCTCGGGAGCATGTTGAGATACGGTGGCACTCGAAGAGCCAAAAGTAGGACCTTCCAGGTTTCCTAAGGCAGATGTTGTTGAACAAGGGCTCGCGAGACTGGAGGCCATTGATTCGATGTTTTCAGATGCGGTGGAGATCGGAGATGGAGATGCTACCGCACCAGCTTGATGTGCCAAAATGCTAGCATTCACTGCGAATAGAGAAAGGGGAGATATTAAACTTCCGACGGAATTGAGACATATGGTAGAGGATGGGCGACATAAAAATCTTCGTGTTAGCACGGTTACCACAGCGTCTTATAAGTCGATAACTATCGACAGAAAACGTGTCATCAGCTAAACCGTCGGCATTCGAGGTTACAGGAAATGCCAGAGGGAAGAGGAGTACAGGCACCCGTTTAGGCGATGGATGGCAAGATGCCAAACGTCGCCAAACCCCAAAATGAAGTACACGTACCGGCACGGTGAATAGGAAAAATACTTCAACCCAGCTTATCTGCAACGGAATCCGCTTGATGCGCGAATGTGGAAAAGAGAATGGCTATTCGTTGCATTCGGAAGTGGCACAAGTATTTTGTTGCAAAAGCAATACCTTGCTGGTCAAACAAGCTATATAAATGTAGCGTTGTGTAACGCGTTTTTAAGCAGGCTATCACGCAGACCATGGATGGATTAAAGGAATCCTAAATCAATCTTTAAGCATGACTTTGAGCAATTAATAAAAAAATATAGTCACCTGCTTGCTGTGCATTTAGTAAACGATGACGTTGATTGAGCTGCTGCAAGTGTTGTTGCTGTTGCACATATCGCTGGTGCTGGAGTACTTGATGCTGTTGGGCTGACAGTGGTTGATAAAAATGTCCAGTGGATGGAGGCGACCTAACGAAGGAGGGAGGACCTGAGAACTGATTCTGAAAGCCAAGACGAGGTGGAGAGGCCATGTGCGGAGGGGTCACTTGAGGATAGTGAGCAGGGAGAAAATGAGTCGAGAAACCCGAGGAACTCGGTTCCGCAGCGCCTACTAAACCGGACGTCGCGGTACGCTTGAATATTCTACCTAAAGTTCCTGATAGCATACGTGATTTCTTTTTACTGGGAGTGGGAGAAGGTGTGGGCGAGGGCATGAGATGCGATTGGTTGAATGTCGTCTGGGACACATATCCGGCGAGGCTGGGCTGATAATTACCACCAGGATCCATCGGGACAAGATGTGAAAATTGGATAGGCCGATAGGACGTGTCTGAGCAAGTGTCAACACGTGAATGTAATGTTTGGTAGTGACGTTGATGACTATAAGCACGTTGGAGCTGATTTTGTTGGGCGGTTTGCATCTGGTGCATCTGATATAATTCTGATGGATTAGTGGGGTTAATTGGTTGCGGAGCTTGTCGGTTGATGGAGATGTCTTGTGCCAGAGGCAGGCCGGAGCCCTGAGTGTCGGAAGGCGAAGAAGACTCCTGGCATTGACTGGCCGGTGAGATAGTAGATAATGAGCTGTTGAAAAAAGTGAATATGAGTACAGCTTCTGTGCAAAAGAGAAAAAGATAACTGCGTCCGTTACATAAATGCATGCTTTCCGAGTGCGCTGCTCCAACGTGAAGAGGGAACCGAAATTTATGAAAACTACCGATGCACCGGACATTCTGCGCAAGAAACATGCTGGACAACCTGCAGAAGCCCACGCTCAATAGGAGATATCACACGACAAAAATACAAAGTAGGCGCAAATCGGTGCAAACAGAGCAATGCGCAAGTCGGCATCATGCAATTCACTGGCTTTCGAGAAACCTAAGTCAACTGGCATTCACAGTCTACCTTGAGGAACACAACTGCTCTTTAAGAGTTGGATTGGAATGTCGGCGAGCAGATAAGTTGTGCTGTTCTCGAGTGGAGTTGTCCGCAACATCAAACAGTTGCTTCACCTCTAGGTTGGTCTTAGACATACTTTGTTCTCGACGCTGATTATAATGGTTGGGGATCGGTGGACCGGATACCGATTTACAAAACTGCCCCGATTGATCCTGGACGGTGGGTAACTGCTGTCGAAAGCCAGGTAACACAAGAGATTTAGCTACAGCAGCAACAGAAACTCTAGCCGGAGAAGCAGTTGTTGATGTTGGCAGTCTGGAAGAGATCCTGTAGGGCATTGACTGATGGGGAGGGGATTTAGCGTCCAAGCCGCTGTTTTGTTGTATAACACAATGAACAAGTATTCAAAAAATGATAAGCCAAAGCGAGACCGATATAGAAGACAGTATAAAGATGCATAACTTAGAAAACAAGTTGATGAGGTATAGGGTTGGAAAATGACAAACGGGAGACAGATGTAAAGTGGCAGCTGCAATACGTGAATCGAGAGGCGAGAAGTAATAACAGTTAGACAATCGGGTGTTGTGTATACACTCGGCCCATGGCCATCATGTAACACCCACAAGGCAACTGTTCTCTGAAGCAAGTTTCCAGTGATAAGCTAAGCCGGATGGTGTGGACAATGTTAATTAATGATGTGAAGCAGTATGGAAAAATGGAAGTGACAGCAAGCGAACACTTCTTTGTACTACCCCTGCTGAAACAGGATGGCAAGTCAAATGTTCATGGAATTGATCAGGATGAAAAAAACGGCACGGAAATTCCACGGTTGAGCAGGAAGAGCTGTAGTAGTCCGTTGAAATCTATCACATTGTTCCAATTACCACCCTCCTCCAGACCGGGGCATATCCCGTCTATTGGAGATGGCGCTGGTACCATTACTCGATGGATTTCCATGTCTGCAGCTGTCATCAAACAGACCAACATCCAAGATCGGAGGAAATCAATAACCGCGCGGAACTGCGCGTTCCACCTTCGAAACCAGAGGTAAAGCCGTGGTCATGAAGTACATCAGAAGGCTGATGTCGAATTCCAGCAATGACAAAAATCCCGTGATGCGTACATACGCGAAATACATCATTCTCCTTGAAGTTAGCTATTCACTTATTACATTGTAATGGAGGCAAAAACAGGTGCTAAAGAAAGTGTGCCCGAATACATAGCATTGACTAGCCGCATGTGCGCAGGTCAAACATCACAGAACGTTAGCAAAAACGGAAGTCATGGAGTAGACGATTGGATTTGCGTTCACCAACCACAGGAACTAAAGCCGTCAGACGTGGGAAGTGAAGGGAACAACCAGTAGACATCTGGGGCCAGATAAGAAGATGGAGTAACTGTTTAAACTGGGGGAAATAGTGAGCAAAAGCCGATTCGAGACAGATGTCAAGTATACAAATCAGATTTCTCATTTCGGCACAAAGTGCAGTCACCATATCGTTAACTCGGATGATCGAGAAACCCGGTAACTAAAACTTAGTGAATTAAGCATTGCGACGGAGCAGAGAGAATACGGAGGGTGAATTTAAAGAACTGGTAATTGGTCCATTAAAGTACGGCTCTGGAAAGTGAGGAATGTTCGAAGGTTGATGACGGCAGGGTGGAACAGTGGCTCGACGAGTTTTCCAATTAGGTAGAGAAAATGCGAAGGAATGTTGGAAATTAATGAACAGCAGCCAACTTTAGGTTGGCTTGTCAAATAGACTCATTCAAATAGCCAGCAAACAAGAAAACAGGTGTTGGATAGGGAGTTACCAGTGGAACTCATCCAGATTCAACAACCATGCTCTTCCGAGGCAATGATGGAGACCACTGAGCCATGGGAAAATGAAGCGCGATCGGGGCGAATAGCCTACTGACCTACAGTTACAGTAAACATTATCAAAACACTGTATGCGCATACTTCGGGCAGAGTGAGAGTTTATGGCAAACTGTCGCCACCCTTCAGTATCACTAGCGGTGTGAGACAAGATTGCCCGCTGTCACCTTTCCTCTTCAACTTTGCTGTTGATGAAGTCATGGAAACATCGTTCGCTGGACACGATCTAGAAGGTGTGGAGCTACTTCCTGGTGAGCGACTTTTTGACTTAGAATACGCGGACGATATTGTCCTACTCTGTGACAGCGCCCAGACGTGTCAAGCAGCACAGGACAGATTGTCACTGGAGGTCAGTTGTTTAGAGCATGCTTTGCGCCATCGGAATGCAAAGTACTTCTCCAAGATTGGCAGGGATCCACCCTTGTGCTAACGCTTTGTGGTGATCTGCTAGAAGTCGTTCATGAATTCAAGTACCTTGGTAACTATATTAGCGCCCGAAGGATGGAAGATGAGGTTACGAACCGTATAACAAAAGCTCTAGGTGCTTTTGCCAATCTCAGCCAGCTGTAGCGCAAACGTGACATTACTCTCGTTGTGAAAGGCAAAGTTTATAATGCAGCCGTCAGTTCAACTCTCCCATATGGCCCATCAGGTCGACAGACATAAAGGGGCTCGTCACATTCGATCATTGATGCCTTCGCAGCTCAGTTCATGTCTGGTGGGAGCACCGCGTGAGCAATGAGCGTGTTCGGCGTCGCGTATTTGGTGCAGGAAGAGCGAGTGAACCGCTCAGCACCATTATATCACGCACCAGGCTCCGATGGCTGGGCCACGTGTTGCGCATGCCAGCACACCGACTCCTGCGACGTGCATTGTTTGCGCGCCGGGGGTGCGGTTGGAAGAGGAGGGGAGGCCAAGCGATGACTTGGTCGAGAGAGATGAAAACCCTCACTTCGAAGTTGGCGTCGGTTGGTGCATCCCGACTGCCTGGCTGGGGTCCTAAGGATGATGAACACGTTTGGTTGGACATACTTGCTGATATGGCTAGGAGCCGGCCCCAATGGCGTTTGTGTTGTGAGTTCCTTTGTCCATCCGCCTCCTGCTTAGCCTCCCCCTCCAATCACGATCGCATTCGTTAGGCATAACATAACTTTTGCGGCACGATAGCCGGCTGTTAGCTCTCCGGAACGATGTCCATCCGTTACTGGGGACTCAGCCGGCGTGCCACTGCTTTTTTTTTCTTGTTTCTTGTCCTTTGCATTGCGGCACAATAACTGAGGTGTTTTTCACCTGCAGCTAACGTGTATAATGAGGAGAATGATACAGAAGCGTTGTCAGTGCTGCTAAGAATATACACTAGTGAAGATATCTAAGAAAGTCCGATCTATCTGGTGGGTCATTGAATGAGCGACATAAAAGCTTACCAATTGGTGGACGGCGACAATAATCACAGCGGTTGGGATAAAAGCTTTGCAGGCCTGTAATCCACTCACTCCAATGAGTCATATTCGTGAAAGACACACTTGCAAGAGTGTCGAGTGAGATCAAGCGGACGCCAAAATCCCGGGTCGGAATGGTGCGTCATATGCACAGGTAAGGGTGAGTCACTAGCGGGATTTTCCCCATCAACCCTCATACTTCCGATCTGTGATGATATTTTGCTCTGTGTGATATTCCAAAGAGAGCTTCTTTTCAACAACATAATATGCGGTGACTATCCGCACACTTTCCTAGTACAAGATGATGTTTAAAATACAAGAAATACACATATTCCCAAACGTCCCTCGGTTAAAACCCACCAACTTCAATTAGGGATACTATTGGAGGTAACGAGCGCGACTTTCTTAGTAGGAGTGAGCTAGGCAGACAATGGGAACATGCGACCAAGAACGGTGGGAAACTGATAATGTGACAGGGTTCGGTTCAATTCTCCATTACATCGAGAGATGCATGATGACACTTCGCCGTGACTCGCAGGATCAATCAGACAACTGTGGGTCTCAAGGTTTGAAAACGAGCCGAGAAGATTGGCAAACAGAAATGACAAAGTTATAATCAATCACTTTAATAAATAACGAGGCGTACCCAGCTGACGGTCCAACGGGAAAAAATATCTTTGGTGAAATTATCGAAGAAGCTCCAAAGGCTGACGGCTCCGACAGGCCTCCGAAATCACTGATCGGAACAGTAACGGGCGTAGAAATGACGGTCACAGGGCTTGTGTAATTGTGTTGCTGAAGCTGCGAAGTTGATCGGAACGAATGTTGCGTGCCTCCTTGGAGTGAGTTGTCCATAGGAGAGTCGGAGGACTAAGCAAGAGTGGGAAAGCGATGGGACTGGCAACAATATACAGAGAAAACAGCAGGTGCGTGATGAAAGTAATACTGGATGAGTGAAAATGGTCACGAAACCAAACAGCGGTGAATAAGGCGTATTACTTATAACAAGGTAAGAGGGAGAGTCCTGATGACGAGTCAAGTAGCTGGTGCCTAAGCGAACCTACTGCGACAAGTATGGTGCAGCACACGGCTGAAACTGAACGTCTGGAACATATGCCGTTTTTGAAGGAAGATGTGGAAAGTAGAAACACTAGGGACTCATATAACGGTCAGGCACAAATGCACGTTGGACCACCGAAATATGATCATGCGGAGAAGCGGAAGTGAAGGTGTAAGCCAAGTGTGTGAATATGGTCGGTGCGCGTGTCTAATGACGTGCCGCTCAACAAAAGTGAGCGAGTCACAGGCATCGAAGGTCCAAGACTAGACAGTGATGCAAAGCAAGGGACAAAAGGTGAAACATGACAAACCCGATAGATCGATAGGTGGATGGTGCGGCAAAAATGATGGGAGGATTGTGGGTTGGTGATTGCAAACATGCGCACAAAAACAAGTTAGATGAAGAGATTCCCCCTCGGTTGTGTTATGTAAGTAAACAAATAAACAGAAGAAAGCAGTAGAAGTGATGAATACAGAAAGGCGTTCGCTGGTCCACGGACTCAAAACGAAGCTGTGAAGTGTAAGCGATCAGGCGAAATGGAACTCAATGAGCAGTCACGTAGCAAATGAGACCAGAAGGTGGAAGATGAAAACAACGGTGAGAGAGGAATGAGACATTAACATGCGAAATCAGTGGATATCTTCAATGCATCCGATTATCTAGCGCTCTCACTATCTGGGTGATACATATACGCACAACTGGCCCATTCGGGAGCGACAGCAAAAAGGACTTGTAAATCGAGTGGTTGGATCAGATCCAGACCAGCTGACAGTTACACTGCGCATACGACTCGATAACTTGTGCACACAGCTGACAATGTGTCGGTAAACACGAGTATAATCCCTAAACTTGCTGCTGATAAACAGAGGTGGCCCAAGCAAGAAGTTGATTTCGAGCTATGACAGTTAAACGGGAGAGTTACCGTGGCGTGGTTAGCACCGTTCCGCATATCCCATCCGATAGGGTCGATTGGAGAGAGAAATTCATCGGATCCAAACTCGTAAGGATCCTCAAATTTGCTGAATTGACGTGATCGCTGATCGGGCCTCTGTTGTAAAATGCCTTCCTTTTGAATTCGTTCGATAACGTTCATTCCCGCTATAGCGTCCGCTAATGTCACACCCCCACAGCGGCGTTGACCGGCAGATGAACCGGTGACGTCCACCTTTGATTGACTGGGCAACGGGGCGGACGTGGTCGGGAATGAAGACATGTGCTGTAACGAAGCAGCGACATGAGCTAAACCGTATGCCTTTCGGTTCTGCGGAGTAACAAAGGCTAAGTGGACTCCGAGTAAAAGGGTTAGTGGATGTCCCAATTACACATGAAAACGGATAAGTAACAAAATTTTTGGAGATTGATGAAGGACAACAACTGTGCACCAAAACGCGAGCTAACGGGTGTAGGGACAACAAGAAATTTGGAAACTAATAAAAACACACAAACAAATAGACAGAAAAAAAACACAATGATGAGTCAGCAAGGTGCAACACCAAGGTAACGATCAGTGGGCTGTACATAAAATTTAGTGAGAAAAGGATTGAAATATGGGAGGAAGATCGCTCACTACGGTTTGATGAGATAAAGTCATCAACAGTACGCCGGCACACGCTGTGACGACGCTTCGCTGCCACGCGACCACCACCGGTCGCGTGTGTGCTGCGTATACTGCGAGGACGTCCGCGTGCAATCTTTTCCGCCACTAGCCGACTTTGATGATGTGATCCGAAAAGACGTAACACTGTACGAAGACGATATGTGGTGGTACTAGATCTCCTATAGGCAAAGGGACGAGCACTGGATCCCAAGTAGGACAAGGCATGCTAACACAGCACCGGTGGAGCGAATATGTTATTAGCTGATTAAGGGAAAATGACTTCGAAGACAAGAAAACAGAATCCATGACAGATGAAGAGAACGAAAGAGAATTAGGAAGAGTGGTTTCCGGTACAATCGGCAAGCTTCATAATAACTTCAGAGAAGTTTCTGGGACGATTCGTAACACTAAATCGGTACACTTAACGTTCATGTATTTCTAACTGCTGTTCGGAAAAGAAGAAACAGTACACCTCAGAGGAAGATGCTTTGAGTGGACGCTGTGGATGAACCATACAGTTGAACAAAACTGACAATGCAGACAAACGTGACAAAACGAGAGATGAGTATGTTTCAGTATAAGACGAAATGGTGGGTAAAATACACTGACAAGCGACTGTTTGTATAATCACCTGGTGGAACGATTTTGGAGTCGAAGAAGAAGGGAGGTACTGATCTGAACGGTTCCCGTGAAACCCATGGGAAGAAGAGTTCTGAGAAAATGAAGTTGTCTGAGGCTGCAACTGTCTGTTGTTCGCCTGTCGTTCAACGGGACGTGAAGGTACCGTAGTCAAAGGGAGAGAGGAAGCTGACTGCAGAGTAGTCCCCGCAGTCCGCATGTGTCCCGAATTCCAGGCAGTACGAGACCGAAAATCCAAGGGAGATGGGGGCGGCGACCAGCCTGTTGGTCCATATCCAGTGAGATCCTGTACCACAAATTTCGCATCATACACTGAGGAATCCGACAACAATCCACATTTTTCATAGGGATTGGGAGCGGTGTATGTATTCAGTCCGGAATCAGTTGTGGCGGATGACCCAACGCGCAACTGTAACTGTTCAACCCATTGCTCAGCACTTTGCTTTTCTTCCTGTGCAGGACAAATGAAAAAAGAGCTCTTGTGCTGTAGAGGGAATCATGGACAAAATCTTGTTTTACAAAAATACCACATAGTTCCCTGGCATACTAAACAGGTGGAATAAAGAATAGCCGATTCGGCCCACATATAGTGCAAAGTTCAGAATTGGTGAGGTGATTTCGGAGAAACTTATCATGCAGTGGTAACAAAGACCAAAGATGCAAGCCAGGACGAACGAACCTGGATGAGCTTTATCTCGTTGTTAATAGCATCCAACTGCTCCTGGAGCATTAAAGCCAAACGTTGAGCATCGTTCGCGTTACCCAACAACTCAGATGCAGCATGACTACTTGGGCTTGAGGAATTTTCGTTGCCCAACCAGTCGGAGGGATGCCATCCACTCTTCTTTAGAGAAGAGGTCGGAGTGCCTGATTCGGCGAAATCTTCGTCAAACCCAGAAGTCTACAACGACCGCAAGAGAGAAGAGTGCACAACTCAAGAGCTTTTACGGGCAAAAGGACAGAAAAAACGCAAACATTGATGAAGATTGTGAGGAAAAGTAAAGACGGCAAGCGGCTGATTGAGATACAAAAAATAAAGAAACAATTCGTTGTCAAGGAAGACGGGACGATTCTAAAAACCTAACCGATTGACGTTCTCCGGATAGCCTGTGGAAGAAATGTATTCCCAGAATCAAAAGCAAGTTAAGTGAAAACGGTTCGCCAACACAATTCTAATATGACAGCATAAATACGCGAGAGGAGACATACACAAATAGAGCAAAAAAGGAAGGGCCAGTATGAAATGGAATGAGTAGCCACAAGCAAGCGAGTGATGACACATGGCTACATTGGTAACTTGGCAAAAGGCATCAGCAGTACGCCGGTACGCAGTACCGACGCTTCACTGCCCCGCAATCACCACCAGTCGCACATGGGCTAAGGATACTGTAAAGATCGCCGGGTCCCTACGCAGGCTTAAACCCGCAGGCCTGTGATCCTTAAGGCTACGGGCCGGTAAGTTGGATGGAGAACAAGAGCATTTTCAAAAGATGAGTGGGTCGAACAGGCAGATCTAACATGACAGACGATGGACAAAATACAAAACTCGAGGATTAGTGGAGCAAAGTTATACCTCCCCTCAGTCATCGCGGAAATTCTACTGGGTTGTCGTGATGAAGCCACATTTAAATGAGATGCGTCGGTCTGCGCGCTTCCTTGACCAGTTGAGTTACGCCGATGACAGACCACAGAGTTTTATGCCCGCTTAAACGAAATAGGTCAATGGTTAGATGTCAACCGGGCTCAGCATGTTCCTGACTGGGAGATTAGGAAAAGGTCGTTAACCCCTTCCTAAGAACAGCCAAGAGAAACAAGAGCTTAGGCTACACCAGCTTAAGTCGAGTAAGGTGAGTTACGAAGATCGCGAGTTGCCTCCTACTTCGGAAGTCATAACTGCTGTCCGGTGTATTGCTGCAGCCCACATCATACCGGCCACTATGGCGCATTATCACCGAAATGCACCCCCTGTAGATGGTGTTACCTTCACTGAACCCGACACAAGCAGACCACCGTGAGGCAACTTTCGCATCTCCGTATTGACGTTACTCATCATTGTCTTATGCGCATTCGAAATGGATATCCAGAGAGCGATATATCTCCACTGTCCAGTGTGCATCCCTCCTCTCTCCATTAGGCCTCCATCGCACCAGGTAAAGTGCGTCCCTGGCTGCATAACTTACGCTTTGTACCTAAACAGTAATTAAAATTATGAGTCATATTTCACCAGCGGTGGCAAGAAACTGCGAGTAGTGGACTTCGGTATGGGATTTTCCTGGCTGCTGGCAAAACCTTATTGTTGTGGTTCTGGATTACTCCTTTAGGGGATCAGTCCAAGTTAACCAGTATCCAGCGAACTTTAATTGCCTATCGTTGCGCCTAACGTATTCAGTTTTAGCAAAACCGCGTGAGACTTCTGACATTTTTAAACGGTTGTAAGGCATCACATGACTCATTGTTGGATACTGAACAACAACAAACAATGGTAAACCGGCTATTCCGGTATTTCGCCGGGTGATGTGTTCTAAATTAGGTGCTGATAATGAAATATTCTAGAAGTTTTGTGGAAATATACACAGAGTACCGTCACATATGTCGTATGGCAGCTAATGAGACCGATGAGCACGCGTTAAGCGCAGGATGGAAGCATTTCAAAAGCTGTGTCTAGAAAAATACGAAGTGTTTCCACACACCTGTTTACCCGAAACTGCTGCCTCCCATACATTGTCCTCCTCCCAGTTCGCTGTTTGGTCATTACGAACGCCGCCTCTGGCTTTCTGTGAGCGAAGAATCGTGGTTAGTGATCCATCTGAAAGTACAAAGAACTTGGAAAATATATAAACTTGTCAACAGATCAAAAGACAAACGGCTTGAACCGTGACAAAGCGGCGAATATGTATGCCCCAAGTAAACAGTCATCAGGACTGCAGACGACAGTGTTGATGCAGGGCACAAAAATAACTACACCGGTGCAAATGAAAACCCCGCATGACGACCGAAAGAACAGTGAGATAAGAGAAAGTTAAAATACTGCCGAAGCAAGACGAATAACATTTCCGATGTCGAAGGATGAAGTACCTAGACAGACTACGGGGAGACGATTAGTTCTAGAAGTTTTCAAAAGCACCAACATAGGAGGCGGACGCACGCGGCAATAAGTATGAAGGGCTGATAAGTGGAGCTTCTCGTAAATACACCTACCGTGAAAAAGCCGAGAGCAATAGGATTGAAAGGAAATGGATGAGGCATATGCGCGAGTTCAAACATACCGTGAAAAGAGGTCGGAGTAGACGCAACCAACTGTCTCCGAAGCCTTTCGATATCCGCAACGGCACGATCACGCTCACACTGAGACTCTTCTAACACACGACGTAGTCGATCAAGCTCACTGGTAAGTTGATTCTTCTCTTCTAAAGAGGCCATTTTCTCACGTAAATGGGTCTGCAAGCGTTCATTGGATTCGAGCAACAACTTGTCCACCTGCGTGTACAGTATAGTATTTGCATAAATAAAGTAAAACAAACAGCACGCCCCGGAAAGAGATGAAAGAAATATTTGAGTGGATTGGAGTCGAAAGTTCCACTTGTAAATATGGATTAGAACAGAAACAAACGTGCCGCCCATGCAACCAGGTCGGTGGTACATTGTATGACGAAACTAGGTAGCTACTACGATAGCAACAGCGTTAGTATCAAAATGACGTAGCCTCCTCACGAAGGTAAGTGAGAAAACGGGGAACGAAAGGCAGTGCGCAGCAGAATTCCAGCGGAAGGCGATTTACCTTTCTACTGATAAGGTAAAAAATGTGGCACACAACAAGCGCTGAGGACACTTAGAGATAAAAGTGACAACATTAGTGTCGCGTACTCCCATGGCGTGTGTAGCCGCATGATCCAGCGACCTTAAATAGGGCGGCGCTTTGCAAGTGCTACCAGAGTCACTCGTCCTATACAAATCAGTGGCAAGCAGTAAGACCAACTCGGTGCCAGCGTTTAATAGTTAGGAAGAGGTATATAGCCCAATCCTTCAAAACTCAACTATGGGGAGTAACAATCGACAGGTTATAAGCTCAGCTTGATTGATGTAGAGCGCGAGAGTTACGGGTTATTCCGACAAGTGCACTATCATCCAGGCTCAATGGATTGCCACCAATCGCCCTTATTCTCCAGTCAACAATGAGCAACGCCGTCAAATCTTATATGCGAATACGTTAGTTATGTGAACTATTCTGAATATTCCAAGGGACTAAAGTGGATGCCAACAGGGCTCTGCAATCACACTACAGAACTGGAGGGAATCTCTAATGTATTGGGGATCAATTTATTGCGCCAGACTTCAGGTGGAGCTCCTCAGGCAAAATGTATTTTAGTCCGCCGCTTTTGTGGATCAGTTCAGTGGAACAACTATGGTCCGCGCACCGAAGTTGTTACGACTAACAACGAAAGAAGAACAATAAATAACAAAATAGTGGGATTGCGTTTAAAACGAATGTATAGACAACGGAAGCAAGTAGGAGGTGAGCTAGACTAATAAAAATGGAACGAGAATTAAAAACGTCATGCAAAAAAATCGAATGTAGCAACGCTACTGACTGCCCGACTGCACCATGTCTGGTAGAGACTTCAGCCACTGGTGTGGACTATACCGGGGCTCCCACCCACGAAGATGATATGCAACAGCCTGACTAAGGCACTCGGCCAGTTTCTTCATACCTCTATACCACATCATGCACTGGCCACCTCGCAGTCTCGCCCAACTTGGTGTGGCGACAGGGTATAATGGACGTCGAGGAAGGGCATAGGGGAGACATGGCCTAGCAAAGGTAGGGGATTAAGATACAGCAAACATTCCAGTGAGGCACCAGAAGGCTTCTTGCCAAAAACCAACTGGCCGACCTCAGCATTGCTCACCTGGTGTTCCCACCAGACCTGAGCGATACTCCGCAAGTACCGGTGGTCAAACACGGCCAATTGTCTAATGCCTACACAGCAAACTGGCCAGGTCTCTGATACATGCAGTAAAACTGGTCTTATCGCACCCTAACACGTCCTACCTTTCATTGACGGGCTGATATCCCGCCGTCCACATAAGTGGTTGAACCTCTGGAAAGTCACAATGGCTGTGCTGATACGCAAAGTAACCTAAGTGATGTGACCAACAGAGGTGACTCAGCTACTAAAGTAGGTGAACCGACCTACCACTTCCAGTGGTTGTTCACTGGTAGCTAAAACCGGTGCCATATCGGTTCAGTCACGCAAGTATACTTTGCACTGTAGAGGTGCAGCAGAGCTACGCACCAGTCTATCTAGTAGTGTTTGCATAATCACTGCATCAGACCGAAGGAGAACTATATCGTCCGCATACTCCAGGTTTGTCAGTCGGTCACCTGGCAGAATTTCACTCCGGTAATGTCTGAAAGAACCAAGTCATTCATAATCATTTCGATCACAAAGTTGAAGAGGAAAGGAGATAGAGGACAATCCTGGTGAACTCCACTTGTCGTGGGGAACTCAGAAGACAGCTGCCGTTTACACGACCTAGGGAATCGCGGTAAAGACTTCAGAATGAAAATGAGTTTAACTGACACGCCCATCATGGTAAGCAGTGCCACGAGCTGGTGCGATCGAAGGTGGCTTTCAAGTCAAGGAAAAGCACCATAAACGGTCCACTGTAGGTGCCTTTGCTCTAACCCCTAAAGAAGAGTAAATATGTGGTCGATGCAATCACAACCAAGAGGCATGCCAGCCTGGCTTTCAGGGATATGGCTCTAACGAGGAACAGTAAGTTATCGAAGTTGGTGACAATGGAAATAAGGTTAATGTCTCGATGCATTTCGCACAAATAACGCTGACTCTTTTTAAAGATGGTCATGACATTTTACAGCCTCTTTAGTGTCCTAAATCGTGTTAAATAGAGAAACAAGTCCAGTCAACAAAGAATCACCTCCATCTTTCAGCAAGGATGGAGAAAGCTCGCCGGCTCCATTAGCTTTGTTTCGTTTCAACAAGACGAGCTCATGTCGAAACTCTCCGAAGGCGGGTGTGAGACCAATTTCCGACGCCGGCTAAGTTAATTCAGCAGGCGGAAGTGTCGCAGCAGGCCTGCTGAATTGCTCGTCAAAATGTTCCACCCAACGGGCTAGTCAGCGAGACTAAGAATGGATCAACTGTCCATCTCTCAGCTATTGTCTCACTAACTGTTAGCTTTCTTTGACCCATGAACTGGAAGGGCACTCGTATGTTCGCAACAGCCCTGGCTTTCTTCATCTCACGGGCCCTTGCCACCCAACAACATTCCCGAGCAATTCGAAGACTACCTGTAAGACGCCGTTTCAGAACGCTACAGACACACTGAAACTCACAGCCCAATGGAAGATACTTGCGTGCTTCGATCAAACTGATCGATGCCTCAGAGATGGGTGTATGGCCGGCGTCAACAGACGATCCCAGTAAGCCCTCGGCTCACTAACTTCATTCGTCCCGAACAACTGATGGGCCAGTTCGCTATGATACTGTCGATCTGCAGACTACGAGTTCAGGTTACAGATAAGAAGGTTAGAAGTTGGGCGCTTCTTTGATTCGGGAAGTGTGAGCACCAGGCGCGCGCACTAGAGCATGGTTAGAGTCCAGTCACCTGCTCCAAACTGACCGACGGTCTCGGACTGATGTGCGTCATCTGTAGCTGATGACAATATGGTCAATCTGGGTGCAGGTCATAAAGGAATTCGGTGGGCGCCAGATGACCCAGTGTGAACGTTTGTGCTGGGAAGCAGTGCTGTTAAGGTTAAGGCTGTAATTGGCGCACGATTGCAGGATTCTATCACAATTGTCTGTTCGGAGTGCATCGACTCCGAAGCGGACGCCAAACAAAAAAGTAATCGCCAGCTGTGCGTTGTAACGGCGCTTCGCTGTCACGCGACCACCACCAGTCGCGTGTGGACTGAGTATACCGCGAGGCCGACTCCTACGTGGATTTGAACCAGTGACCTTATGGCTGCAAACCAGGCTCGCAGACCACTCGGCCACCGGCCGACAAGATGTTGATCATATTCTGAAAGACGATTCACTGGGGCATTCATGTCGCCAGCAACAATCACGATGTCAGTATTCTTCGTCATCCGAAAAATAGATGAGAGCTGTTGATAGAAATCGTCGTTGATACCCCCTGAACTGCATTCAGTAGGAGCATAAACTGAGGCGATGAAAAGGCACTTTGTCTTCAGACAGCGTTTATTAACGCCAATAGAGATTGGTTGTCGAAACGCACACATGCAGCTGTTTACAGGTATCCAATCGAGTAGTCTGCCTTCACCATGTTTGATGACAGGGATACCTACAACATAAATACCTTGAGCAATTGACGGTATCGACAGAAACGCGAAGAGTGGAGTCGTTGTTAACACATTAGGGAACCAGGGAGCTGAAGATTCGTCACAAAAAGGTTATCGTGTATGCGTATTCGCGAGACACAGCACACATCGAAAGCAAAAGAGTGAAAAGTGAGAGTTAGTGCTGCCTGCTGTCCCATCTGACTGAGAGTGTGGACGTTATAAGAAGCATTGTGAAGTAAGACTCTGGGTTTGGTGGATACGCTATATTTATCGATGGCATCAGTTGTGAGGTCAGCAGCAGTTCTGTACAACAGAAGGGGAAAACGGGAAGAGAAGTATTGTTGACGGGGTCGAGGGGGAAGATGATACTCTCCGGCTGCACATTCCGACAGAACGGTTTTGTTCGAAGTGCTCGGCTTCCAGCCTTGGATTTAGCAGTCTGACCCACAAGACAGTGGGGGATACGGAGAACCACTTGAGGGACTTCACCCGAAGCCTTCGGCTCAGTAGCCTGGCTCACCACGGAGTGGAGAGAAAGTCCAGTACGGATCTACTTGAGGTGTGCCACAGGTAGTATTCGAAGATTTAGGGCAATCTGTATATTATTCGACCGTACTATGTGAAGCACCTGCGAGGACAGTTAGTCGCAGAGGAGAATTGGCTGGTTCGCACAAATTGTGCCATGGGATTTTTGGCTTGGTGCTGGTGGTAGCAACCGATTGATCACCGGGAGCTGTGAGCTTATACCCCGTAAACTTGCTGTCCTCCATGGTTAAGCTCTAAGGAAAGTAGACGATCGACCTCCTAACCTACGTAGGGGATTGTGAGACTGAGTTATTTTGACCCCCAATTCGTTGATCTGACTTGTATGAGTTTTTTAAGACGCTTGGAAAGTGCTACCCAGGGCAGATCAATGGGTAAGGGAGGTACGCAAACCATCCCACCACGTTAAGGTTCAGTTTTGTCGCGTCTCCAGTGATGCCCAGTTCAGGACACACAGTATGCGGTGTTAGAATCGCTCTTAATAGAGGTGTAGAAGCGTTTATTCTAAGATAAGTTCCAGTGAACAGCCGCACGAGTGTAATTCGACTCCACTGCCCAAATCGAAAGAGTGATCGAAGGCAAAGTTGATGTTCGTTGTTTCATCTTACGTTCCCAATGACGGTAACCTGGAACCCATCAAATACGAATATTATGAACAGCTTTTCCTTCGCAGCCGTATTACAAAAGCACAGACACCACGATCGGTGCAGATAAAGTCAATGATCAAGTTCGCTGTGCAGCTGTGTCGGAACACAGCCTCAAAAGCCGTTTCGAGGTAAATAATGTCGTAACGATAATGAAAATCGCATTCTACAGCTCCGTGTTAATAACAGTATGTTAGCAACAGCCTTTCCAGCACAAAATGTGGCGGAGTTACATGGTGATCATTTAACGACAGGTTGTTCTAGATTTACAACGATCACGTCCCCAACAGCAACAGACGATGCCCAACAGTGCAAGAGTATAGGTTTATCCAGTGTTTGTCTCGACTCAGATCATGCCCTCTTGCATGAGGGCGTACCACTCAGACTTCCCGGTTCGTCTAATGGTTCAGATTCGAAAGTACTCGATGGTCAAATGTATTTACCATCTGAGATGCAGGACAATCAGCCTGAATAGACGCATCATATGCCAGTGACGTAAAAGGTAAATGGAAGGTGAATTGGAATGCGCTGCAATGTCATAAAAAAGGTACTCCAGAGGGTCTGTTCTCTCAAGTTGAGGAGTTCGGGCAGTAGAAGGATCTCTAAAGTTTCGCTTCGTAAACCTAAGGAAGAATAGATGGTTTTGGCGCGATGCCAGTTCCAAAGTGTTTGTCGCGTTATGAAACGCTATCTAACTAAATGCTTCAGAATTGACGGGTGGATGAGAAAGCGTGGGATGAAAGCCCGTGCCACAAGGAAGAAAAAGGTGTCATTTGCAGGTCGCTAAGTATAATGAGCTAGAACGGAGAGGACAGAGCAGGGGATCCCACAAAGTAAAATATAACTGTATAATGCACATCATGCACTGGAACTTTTAAGAAAAATAAGCTGTTGCATAGACACCAATAAACTTGCTGACTAATGTTTACCGTGGCAGTCAAACGTGAGCTGTGGTCCTCATTGAGGCGCTCGCGTTGTCTGGCTCGCTGAAGCTCAGCCTGCGTTTCTTTCACGCTGGATTCCATTTCGCGGATACGTTCTTCCGCTTGACTCAACTTCGTCCTGACTTCTTCCATACTCGACTGATCTATGCTACAGTCACCTACGGATCTAAGACAGCGAGTAGCCGAATGGTCCGAGTCAGATGGGTCCTCAGCGATCTGGTAACCATCATTGTCCCCCTTTGGTTTTTCCGTTTCAGCGGATTTGGCCAACTGAAGTCCGCGGAGCTGGGATTTGAGTGCTTCTAACTCTGCGGCCAGTGAAAGCGAGTGTTCTTTAGACTAGAAGGAAGAAAATGTGAAACTGGGTGTCAGCGAGAAATCAGTGAATTAGCTTCAGAGAACAGTCCATACCAAGTCGAATAAAATGAACAACAGTGAATAGAGTGGCGGAAAAACCGAGTAGAACACTAGTACATAGATAAACAAAATCGAAACATAAGCGGCTACAAAGAGAAACCAATAAACAGAAACGAGCCGAGAAAATGGATGCATATGATACTACGCGGGCCAAACTAAGTTGGTACTGATCACGAACGGAAAATGGGAAAGTGGCCGCTGCTAAATGAAGGACGCCCGCACCATGGAACGACAGGGAATGAGTTAGTAGGGATGATCCGATGTATGTCAGATAGAACGACGGCGAGCAGGAGATCGATGTGGTACATCGAAGCTCCGTTGCCAGCCTACTGATTACGATGCCCTACTTATTGGCCACAAGTGAAGAAGAAACTATGAAGCGTGCGTGCTAACGAAAAAATGGACGAAAAATCGGTGGTACCTTAACAATGATAGTTCTCGAATAATTGTAAAATGGAGATGTTAAACTAACGGGGTCTTAGCATACCTGTTTCATTTCCACTTCGCGACTGATGAGCTCGGATTGTGCCCGACTGAGGTGGTCGAGAGCGTTGGTAGCCTCTCTCTGTGACGCCAAATACCGCTGTTCCAAAGTATTTATTCGTACCTCCTGTTCTTCACGCTGAGCTTCTGACTCGCGTAACTCACGTTGGAATCTCAGGGTCTAAAATGAAGCAATTCAAATAGGACTGGTCACTATACTGGGTAAAAATCCTGTCTGTATGGCAGCAGACGTTCGTTTTTGCAACTTTGTTTTCGTAACTACAACAGTTGAGAACATCGAATAGGCTCTCACGTAGAGCTTAATCGATAAAATAAGGACTGATCCATATGCTGGGGGCTGAACAACCCGTGGTGCTATCTGGGTGGTTCGGATTAATCCCGTTCCAGCGAATAGTCTGGTGGCAGTGTTCCAGGACGTGGTGGGTTAATTCTGAGCAAGCGTTCTCTCTATAAAAAGCCACACAAGTCTGTTTAACAACAATACAACGTGGCAGATGTGACTTTCCACTAAATAAAGTCATTGCTCTTCGCTTATCAAGATCACCTTCCTCATTCCATGGAGGTCAGTGCTTCTAGTCGAAGACTTCCTTCGAACACTTCTCACGCCGAAGACCTGACTGAACACAACACCAAACGCAGCGTAACATTAACACATTCTGGAAACACAGATACGTAAATTCATAACTGTATACATTCATATACACATAGGCACATACATCCACAGTACAGCACTGGTAATTTTACAACATTTATGTACAATTATCTAATAATCCTGTTTGTATTACTATGATCATGCCTATACAGACGTGCCTCGCACTGTCGGGAATTTTAAAAAAAATTATATGTATAATGTGATTGCAGTTACGAGAGCGAGTGTAGTGACTTGGGAATAGTTTGAAGCACACATAATGCCCCTTTATTTTATCGCGTACACCCAATGGGGGAACAAGTAGGAAGAATAGTAGCAGCGGTGATGTAGAAACATGCAAACTACGATTGCTAAGTGATTTTGACGTTTTCTCAATTGTGGGCGAGAAGTCAGTTCCCAAATCGGTGGAATACTCGAGCAACCATAAGAATGGGCAAAGTTAGGTAGCCGGCAAAAACTGTATGTAACATTCGATATTAACCATGAATGTAAAATCAGAGCGATAAAAAAACCCATGGTAGCAGAGTCGAGGAGATGGGTACACAAAAGCGGTCGGAACGGAAAGAACAGTGATGGAAGCACAGCTAGAAGGAAGAAAGGCTGGTCGAAGATCTTAACCAATGGCCAACACGAGGCAACAGACCAGATCCAATGAATATATATATATATGTATATATATATATATATATATATATTTGCAACAGTCTATGAATAGACATTGCACCATCGGAAACCATGGAACTCAAAACAAGGTACAGAAATAGTAAAAGAAAACACAACACAACACATCAAGGTCCACGGTTTCGTCCAATGAATACGGAAGCTATAAAAGGATGGGCGACAAAGCGTACCTGGGACATAAGTCTAGGACCCTGTGTAGTCTCCGAATGATTAGAGAAACTCACACATCAGGAGTTAATGACCAAAGGAGACTAGAGGCTAGGATAAAGCGAAGATAGTTGAATAAGTGGTACCTGTTCGTTGGTACGTAAAAGTTCCTTCTGAGCAGCCGCAGCGGCAGCTTCGAGCTCCCGCGACTTGGCGGTAATTTCAGCTAGCTTCTTTTCCGCCGCAACTGCGCTGGCAGCCGCTGCAGCTGCTGCAGCCGCATAGGAGGCCACAGACTTCGATTCTACAGAAGCGGCCATGTTTGCATCATCACCAGCGTCTTTGCAATTGATAGGTGGGCCACCAGGAGGGAGAGAGGCTGAATTCGTTCCCCGGACGTCGTCCTTCTCGTGTGGATAGACGGAGCCGCACTTCGATCCTGTAGGTGAACAGAAAGATACATTTTAAACTCCTTGCCAAGAATCCGAGCTGAGCTTGTTTACCTCAATCGATAATAAGGCTGTCGATCATACAGTCACGGTCACAATAAGGATAGACCAGCTCCAGGCAAGTGATGGCCAAAGAAGTCTACGTTCAGTGGAATGGTATAACCAAAGAGCTGGTTGCTGAGCTGAAGTAACACCAACGTCACAGTCAATCGGCAGAGCAAAAGTGAACTGTCAGCAAAGAAAGCGGGGGGAATCTCGGCTGACATTTGAATGTATCATTAAAATGGATGTCTGAAGAGGTTATTTGCGGTAGCACTCAAAATACAGCAGACTACGATTCCTCAAGAGTATCCGGAAGCATTGAGCACAAGGTACGTTTGTTCAATCTAAAAAGGGCCAGTGTGTTTCGATGCTGCTCCTCAAAGTGGACAAAAGTGGATTGGGCGAAACGGAATTCGGTGATCGAGTTCCCGATAAGTGTAAGCAGTGGACGCGCCCATAATCCGGATGGAAGTACTTATTTTACACCCTAAAACGTCGCTGAGTAGTCTCGCTATGCATTGTTGTGTCCCCCTCAAGTTGAGACCGCAGCTGCAGTTGAAGAGACCGAAGGCCAGGGTTAGTGACATAAGACTACAGCGAGCTACTTCCCAATCTAAACGGCACCCATTTTACTCGCACTGTGAGAAACTACAGACAAGAAACGCGGACGCCACTTTGGAATGAATCTATAACAAACGAATAAATTAGACGAGGGTCGAATGAACAAAAGTAGCGTCAAGGATCCTCGAGATGAAAATCGATTAAAACGCTCCCAAATGACTGCCACATCCCTGTACTTCTCCATCTCGAAAGGCACACCACAATCAGTAATGTCCTCAATCAACGTGAGGCTTCTCGCCAGACATACTAGGGGTCTTCTGAAATCGGTATCCAAACGAAACAACTCGCATTGATTCAGCGAAATTGCTCCTATCACTCGGGGATCTCAGACCGAGCAATCAAGGGATGGCTTGTTTGCAAAGTTCATCAGTGACAGCAGGGGAACAAAACGGGACCGGTGGTGAACTGCGAACTTACTTGACGACTGCGTCACCTTGTAAATGAGCGCTTCGCCGAAGCCGTGAAAGTGTGCGCCATGTGGACATGTAATGAGATGTGATCGGATACTCAGGTGCTAAGGAGTAACCAACAAGTTTGCACTGACTCGCACCACCTGTAATTGAGGACAAGGTGGACTAGTCCAGCAGACTAGTAAAGCAGCACCAAATGACCTGATGCGAACGGTTTTGTCGTAAAGCAATTTTAGTATTACGAGTAGGTTATGTTGTCCCTCAAGGCTAGGCATGCAGAGTGTTAGCACTGCCTGCCACCAAGTCACATGTCCGCCAACAAGGATGTCCGCGCGGCGCTCAACCCAAAACGAGGCAAGGCCTCATTCAGGCATACACCTGAAGCGATGAATTAATTGTGTAGTAAATCCAAGGGTGTACATTCATGTGTTTGTCTTTGGATGCCAACACACGCTGTCGATAAGACCATTCTTCGTTCTCCCTAACGAATCCGCGGCTCTGGCATGAGGTTCGCCTTCGCCGCGTGCGTGTACGGTTAACCGACCGGGCGGTCGGGTTACCCCACATTTGGCTACGTCACGCGTGAGAAACAAGAACGAAGTGGTTGTTGGCGCGTCCAGCTATGAGCAATATAGCAGTTATTGATAGAGAAGTTGTCTTTGATGCACAATCAGTGCTATGAACATGGAACATCGAAATGACCCTGATGTGTGTTGGGACTCAAATTAATAGCCCATTTGAATATTCATTACAAAACCATTCACCACTATATCCGTTCTCTTGGCCATGCAGATGACCGATGAGATGACCATCTGCACCTATCACTCATAGCCTAGAAACTCCGGTCGGTAGTAGTGTATATCAATCGGGTACATACGGGCAGAGTCATTGGAAGCAGTTTGATAACCCTGATGGAGAGGCAAATAGAGAAGACAACAATGATGCCGTGACTACCACGGTCCGGAATCGTTCCGCTCTGAAATCCGATTGACAACGGGGCTCTAATTTGAAAGATGAAAAACTAACTGCTATCCACGCTTCCACAATGATGTGTCATCAGGCAGTGCCCAACTAACACTCATAACACTCGTAACAGAGGCTGGTCAGCCGAAAAAGTGTAAACACACAAAGTCATAAAGCACCAAACTCCACGGGTAACGCCTGTCACACAAATCAATGGCTTATTGTCCATTTGTATGAAGTACCTTGTGTGCTACCACACGTAGGCTGTGTGGATAACAGGTTAGTTTGAAATAGATGCCTAAATAACCACTGAGTTCCACGGACAATTCATGTTACAACATTTAATCATTGGACGAGGTGCACGCGAAAGCAAAGCGGGATTCCAATTGGGATTTCGTGTCGGAATCCAGCCACACAATGCGTACTCCAAATAAGCCAACAAGGTAGCCGGTAAACTATGTGCAGGGCTTACCTATAGAAAATCAAATGAAGTTGGCCAGCTTCCTCTAAACATCAATTCCATAAAAAGTGAATAGCGCCCAGTATGGTAGTAAAGATTGGGGGAATGCAGATCAATTGGAAACTGGTAACGCGTGAGTCATAAATGAAACTATGAGAGGAAATCACACCGATACTTAAACTGTACAAGAGAGGGACCAACATCACCACATACGTAATGCCAGAGGAGGAGCTCCATAAAAGTGAAGGTGAAGAGTAGCGAGCGTCGTATGGCATCGATCTGATCGAAAGCCATGAGGGTTGTAAGCCACAGATGGTCGGTCCGAATGTACTCAGGTGCGAGGGACCTAGCAATATCCCAAACCCGCGTGCGACTGATTGATAGCACGGAGCAGTAAAGTGTGGGTGCAGCGTATCGGTGTACTGTATATGTTCTCTTGAACTAAATAAGAAAGTCAGTTGTGTAACCAGATGACATATTAAACGCTGTCGTTGCGGGGGGATAGTGGACGCCGTAGCAGGAGGATAATCGGGGAAAATCCAAACTCATCACATCCGCTGACGACATGGGGCAGCTTAAACGATTTGTGGAATAAATGAGGAAACCTGTGGTATAAAAAGAGCAAAGGGCAGCCAGTGCAATAACTGGTTCAACGTTGTCACAAGTAAGTGATACCATCACGAAAAAGCTGAGACGAATGGTAAGTTGATAGTCACTCAATCAAGTAGCGTGCGTGAAGAAAGTAGACGTGTGCTCCTGCCTCACAAACCTCAAAAAGGATGAAGATGGGTGATTCAAACAATGTAGGGCCATCACAGGAGGAACGGTCAATAAGCGCTCAAACGCCACTGATTGTTTAAAAAAATCGAAGAAAAACCAGTGAATGATTTTAAACAAAACACGAGAGCACTTACTAACTGTATCACCACTAGCCTGTGCGTGCAAATCCTGCTGATGCTGTGCAGCTGCAGCTGCCGCCGCAGCAACACCAGCGAGCGCGGCCGCTAGTTGCTCCCGAAGTGCTGCGCGATCCGCCGCCGATGAGCGTACTTCTTCTTCAAGCTGCGCACCCCTTTCCAATGCGGCTCGAAGACGCTCTCTAACGCGTTCATCCAGTGCTTTGTGGTGCTCGAATAACGATTTTAGTGCTTTCAATACTTCGACTTCGGAACTAACACCACCGGGACTATTAACCTGGCGTTTGACGACCGTCATGCGTAATGAACGTTCATGACGGGCAACCAAACATTCCAAGTGTTCAAGAAGCAGCTGTAGTCAGTGAAAAGGGATATCAATGCAAGGGATAGTGTTAGTAACTGAGCACATATACCATCAATTAAATGAAAAGTCGGGAGACAAAGAGATGTGTTGGCAGTGTGTTGTGAAGTGAAACTGAAACAGTGGGGCGTCATAGGCGTCCAGGGGACTACCGACAAACGACTGTATGTAAACAAGTGAGTTCTCCAGTGAGGAATCAGAAGTGGAGCACAAGCGCGACCGCGATGAGAACGTTCATAACAAGGGAACAGGGGTTGCAAACAACGTTGTCACTTCGACAGAAAGCGGCGTACAATTAAAAGCAAAAACGGTTAAAATTTTGGTACATAAAACCAAACAGAAGTAAAATCCATCAATGAGAGCGTTACTTAAGGATATAGGTAGAAATTCATCAAATCTAGACATACTCAGACAGCCATCATACGCCCGGAAAAACACGGTAAGGCTGCTACATCCTTTCGCGAATTATCAGCAGTGCGCATTCCATCCAATTCCTATGGGGAGCTAGAACCCATAAACCGATTGTTGCCAGTGAGCGGTGAAGACCACGGAGCTACGGAGGACGGTAACGACCACTAATATGTAATTATTGGTGTGCAGAGGACAGGATAGCATCTCTCACCAAACACATCTTACAAGTCCCTTGTAATCAGTATGCAGATCAAATGGCTTATTAGACTTAAATCGCTTGGTGAGGAGTCTACCCTGTCATCTGCACCACGCGTTAAAGTCATCGTGAATCTATCACGATAATTAACAAAACAGAATTATGCCCGTTGGAGTAAGTTTGCCGAAGCGCCAGTTATCCGGTGGATGAGGCCTAATTTGTGCAAGCAGATTGATTCCACGGCCAGCCTCGCCTTACCTTGGTGAGATTAGCGATCACTTTTCTTTGGATTTTATGACACTGCACATCGCTTCCTCTTGCAAGCAGCGCGATAAGTTCCCGGAGTGCGGGTAAACAATTGACGGGAATATTCGAAGTAAATGAACTCATCGTATGCTGTGAAAATATTGTTTCTTTTTACTATTTTGAAATTTGTAAAGGAAAATGCTGCGTGTAATTAAGGATATGTTAAGCACGGATGCCTACAATCGCATGGTGAAGTAAAGGGAAATTGAAGATGGGTGACGGTGTCTCGTGCTCATATGAGGCCGGAAAATCCTTACAAAAGACACCGAGCACTTGATCTACAGAGCAGGTACGACCATTATACTTTGGTACTTCCAGGCAACAAATGTACCTAGAGAAGGTACAGACAGAATGAATAAGGAATGTGAGCGAACGGTCTGAAAGTATGAATAATTTGGAGGGTTTGCAGTGATGCCACTGGGAAACTGGCATGAATTAACATAACATACGATCAACGATAATAATAATAATAATAATAAAAGCAATAATAATGAATGAGGGTATCGAAGGGTATTGGGTGAACTATGAATACGGTCAGTCTACCTCCATTGTACAGTGTATTTTGGCGGCGGTTAAAAAGTTTTGTCAAGGTCGTTTGACTTCAGATTTTTCCTTCGGTTGGGCTGGTAGTTTTGCATATGAGTTAAGTGGCTTTATCCTGAATAGCAGTGGGGAGAAAAACTGACACCATCAAAGAAAAAGATTAAACTACTGTGATGGAAGGACTAAGAATCAGAGATGATGGATTACAGTTAGTGATGATGAGGAATTCTTGAATGAATCATGATGGAGAACGGTCTGCTATTACAAACTGAGGGGAAACTCATCCAACAGTTTCCAGAGAGAAGAAAAACTACATAATACATGTTAACTTATCGCAAACAGTATCTTGGAACCAAACAAGAGAACAGTTCGAGAAAGCAAAACACAGTATGCAAACAGAATCCTTCGAGCAGGCTAAAGAAAGGAAATGTTTCGAAAATCGGAATGAAGGGGGCAATGCAAATAGCGACGTCTAAAAATGCCGCTAAGATGTGGAGATAAGGCTACGAAACAGTACGCACCCGAGTGTTATTTCGTTCTGATTTCAGTTCGAGTATTTCTTCTTCACATTCCGATAACTGGTCGCGCAGTCTATGTACTTCTTTGGCAAGCAATGACAAGTCCTGGAAGATATTTGAGCAAAATTATCGAATGTAATGTATCGAATAAACCAACAAACCCAATGCATGTGCATCACAAACAGTGTCGAGCAACCGCAGTACACAACAGCCGCGAATTTGGCATAGATATGCGAAATGGAAGGAAGGAGTTGAAAGTTTACCAATGCTTTAGGACCGAGAAGATTACAGACAGCCGAGATATGAAGCAGCGAGACTCAATAACCAGCATCGTTTGCTACCGTGGTAATGCGGGCGCATCCTGACCTGGTGTTTAGCTTGGCTCAGTGACGACTATGGGTACAGCGGTAAAGTGCGAAGAGTCAAGCAGGCATTCCGTGAAGAAAAAATAAGAAACGGATAGTAAGTATTCAGAGAAAAAATAAAGAAGGTAAAATCGGGAGGAAGAAACGTCAGCAACAAGGTAAAATACGGGTGAAAGAGTGCCGCGGACTCTATGAGTGGGCCATCTTAAGTAGCTAACTACCGGTGGGGTCAATCCGAAGTTCTCCTTCCAAGAAGACACGTGCATAAGCCTGTCCAAGTGTCTCCATCAATTTCTCAGTGTCCCATTGCTATATCGTGAGCTAACCAACATGAGGCTCCATCACGCAGATGCAGCATAGATAACCACAGGTTTATTGGCAGGTGGCCATCAGGTATATGAAGTAGAAGACACAGTGACAATGTTGACGGAAAATATAGGGCAGTGAAAGGAGAATTGTTACTGGACACCAGTTGGTGGTCGTCATCGATAGTTCAGTTGGAAATCCTACTCCACTGGAGCAAAGCTGCAGGGCGCACTAGTGGTTAAAGAATAACAGTCTCAAACTATTTACAGCGTGAGGGTGAAAACGGTTGACGAATAGTCACTACCTAGCACACTGCAGAAGTGTGCACCAGGGACATAACACATAAGGATGGACAACTGAAGAGTACACATTGGACCAGCTGAGTGGCCACGATGAACGCATTGAAAGGAGGTGGGCGCTGTTGTCATGTGTTGCGTTTGTAAATAAAATACGGAGACGAGAGAAAAGAAAAAGGTGAACACAAAAGGAGTGGGGAAACAGAAAAGTTGGCAGATGGAGGAGACACGAATCAGAAGCAACTGAGTGAAAGCTGTGCGTATTCATTTGAGTGTCTAATCCCTGAGACTCCCGCACAGGAAGGCAACACGAAACATCAACAGAGTCAACTAGCCAAACGCAGCACACCTCATTCAATGTAATCGGCCAGCAGTCGACTCCTGGCCCGGAATTTATCCGATTCACCTTCGGCTTGGCTCGAGAATTTACAAAAAAAATCACTGGCAGCTGGTGCCAGTGACGCGTTTTCTGTCGTTTCTTAATCGGACTGTCCGAAAAGTGTATATGATGTGGGGTTATTCGAAGGGCAGTGAAAGCCGCCAGGAAGCTGTCATGTGAGTGCTGCTTTATGTTCCCACGAGTGCCAGCTGTTTGTGACCGAGTGTTGTTGGAAAGATGAAGGTGCCTTGATTATAAATGATAGCGTATAGTTGCGGAGCATCCGTTCAAATTACTGATGCACTGCCGTTGATGATGCTCTGTAAAAGCGGGGTTTCATGCAACTAGGAGGCTCAACAGTAGATTACGCATGCCGGTACAGGTAGTCGCAAGTATGCAAAAAGTATTCAGGTCGAGTCCGACAAACAATCCAGTGCACAGATCGGTTGCCAAAGACAATGTCGTCCAATCGCTGTCTTTATAATATATAAGCAACAGGCCGCAGAGATTAGTCAAACGCAACCGAAGTGTTAGCACGCGGCGCATAGCTATCACATCCAACCTAAACAGTAACATTAATCGCACTGCAAGCTTGCACAACATTGACGGAAATCGTCATCTTCAGACCTTGCCCATCGTGACCCGGTCGAGGTTTCGGTTAATATTCCAATGTTTCCTGGTTCGAAGCGTACTATCTCCATCTGATGCGTCGTGGTGTGCAGTGTTTTCAAGCGGGCGACACTCAATTTTCATCTGCCTCGGTTACGGTTCTAGTGAACCCATCGACCAAGGTTCGCTTCAACATGAATCGTGGTCTACATTGAGACTGCGCATCGCAATCGGTTTACATAACGAGTACTTCAAATGACCATCCATCCGGCAGGTAACTTAGACACCAGTGGTGACACTAAAATGCTCACGTTAGTGGGTCGATTGAGCAGTTGGAGTTTAGCGGTAGTGAAAACTGGTAGTGCATAGGCCCGATAGCAAATGGAGTTCGGTTGAACCGTTGCAGTTTCCCAATCTTATTCTTTAATTGTTAACAACGTCAGTGCTTCCTCCAGGGCAATATAAAGGGAATCTGCCCAAACCATTGCCCATAAATGAAAATTGTGTCCGTGGCGCCAATTCTTTCCCATCTTACCACTGATTGCCTCCGAGTTTTGCTACAAAGTACATTTGAAGACGGTAGCACAAACATTCCTACTGTGAACGATCGGGGCACTGATCTGTGAGAAAGTTAGTGATCTGAAAATTCACTCTCAGTATGCTTTAAGGCAGTGAATGCTTCTGTGTACAAATGATCGCTAACAACCTAGGGGTCATAAAACACTTGTCGGAAAATGTACGAATTCATTCTCTTGTTTATTTATTTAACGGTCTCAAGCTGCGGTAGCGTATATCTGTAAAGTGAGTATGCGTGTTCTTACCTCGGGTAGTTTTTCGGACAACTGTCTGGTTAGTGAATCACGCTCACGTTCAACCTCGTTCAGTCTATTTTGTGTGAAAACAAGCTGATCTTGTGCATCGTGCAGATTCTCCATGAGACGATCTCTCTCATCCAAGATACTCAGCAGCATATCCTCTACGTTAGTTCCTTCGCCGCTGGCTTGAGAGTCATGGTCACCTTGACTGGAGCTGCCATCCTCGGTAATGGTGGGCATAACGTCACACATCTTAGAATAACTGAAACTGTTCAAAACAAAGGGAGCATAGAGGCCCATAACAATGATTAGGCGATATAAGATCGGATCTAACATTAGTTGAACCCGCTTGTTCTAAAGAGCCAATAAAGGAAGAAGAAAATCAGTTTCTAGTGTCTTAAACAAAAACACGGTTGAAAGGAATTGACTGTCCACAGAATGAAGCTGAACAGCAGACAGATCTGCTAATTCCATTCACTGAATAATGGTACGAGGCAATGGTCACCTGGCAAAAAACACTAGAAATCAGTATGGGGCAAGAAAGAAGCAGTAAGGGCCACTGAAACCAAAGTCCAATCAGATATCAAGTAATGGAAGAAGTTGACTTAAAGATGAATACATTTGTCCACAAACATGATAGGAAGATAGCACAAATGAAGGCTTACCTGCTCCGAGTGGAATAAAGTGACCAAGTGGTGAAAACGAGCTAAGGCGACCACCTCTCAGGTTCGACTTAGAGTTCCGCGTTTACCTAAAGAAAAAAAACAGGGAAAAACCGGTGGTGGAGGCAATCAAAGCCGAGATGCTATAATACATCCGCAGTATTCGAAATTACCGAAGGTCAGTATGAGATGACTTATCAATGTAAAAACTGATACTGCTAAAAACACTTGCAAGGTCGAAGGTGATCGTTCAACAAGCTATCAAGAGAGAAAAGTGACACAAATTATAGCGGATATATATGGTTGGCGGCATCCGGTTTCGGATTTGCCTGTCACTGTGGCAAGCCACAGGACGCCTGCGCCTACAGAGGGACCATGGATGGCTTGCGCTGCACCACCCACAGCTCCAACCACATACCCCATATCCAGTGTAAACCCGAAGGAATAAGACCGGGAGGCATGCGGATGGGAACCACGTTTCATCAACGGAGCCGGCCCACACTCCTTCACAGGCAAACACAAGCACGCTGTATTTGGGGAATCAAGCGCACACAAGGCGGTGGCTGGACCGTAGTCCGCTCCAAACTGAGTGCATGGAACCACTCTATGAGACTAGCAGGGCGATAAGGAGCGTACACCCCGTCGCCTTCAGCAGTGACCAACTGTCTCTTGCAGCCAGTATGGAGGTCCGAGAGAACAACATAAGAATTCTTCGAAACATCCATTAGTTCAGCGATTAATCGTGTGTTATCTAGTATCGCATCGATTTCGAGAGTTCTGGAATTTCCGGTGCCTGCACGTGACTGGTTACCTTCTGAAGATCGGCCAAAACTAGGTGGAACAACTAATCTTGGCGGCTGGCCTTCCTATTCCAGAAGTCGAAGGTCAGTAAGAGACCTATAAATACAGCCAAGGGTCGCTGCATTTGTACAGTGTTTTGTTGACGGCGGTGAACAGGTTATTGTGTCAAGGTCATTGGGTGTTTCGCTTTTTCCTTCGGTTGGGCTAGAAGTTTTGTGGAGCAGTAAAGTGCCTATTTCGAAATAGCGTCTAGTGATATTATGGCAAATGGCAACGGAGAAAATTAGAAATATGATGAATTTTTCTGCTGAACAATTTTAAAATCTGCTTTTCCAACAACAATCGCAAATGGAGGCACAAATGAAAATGATCGAAAAATTGACACAATGCTTGAGTTTGCAATCAACAGGAGCAGTGACGCGGGACGCGCAGGCGAGTTCCGTTCATATTCTCATGAACACAATCACTGAATTCAATTGTGATGCGGATTCTGGATGCACGTTCAAAAGCGTGGTTCAAGCGCTGCGAAGACATGTTCCGGACGAACTTTATTCGTCAGGTCGACTCCTAGAAGGTGCGATTGCTACTCCGAAAGCTCGGAACAAATGAACATTCAAGATTCATAGACCACATTCTGCCAAACAGCCGAAGGATCTGACGTTTGAAGAAGCACTGTCGCAGCTGAATGAAATTTTTCGTGAGTCAGTATCCATGTTTAGTATTCCCTATCAATGCCCGTAAATTGTCAAACAGGAATCCGATGACTTTGGGGAAGTAGCAGACATGCTTAACCGTGAGTGTGAGCGTTGCAAACTACGCTCACTAACGGACGATCAGGTTAAGTGTCTCATTTTCCTCAGCGCTCTATCATCTCCCAGTGATGCTGAGATCTGCACGCGGCTTTTAGCTAAGCTGGATCAGGATCGTGATCTGACAATGAAGACCTTCGAAAGCGAATGCAAACGGCTGCTCACTCTGAAACACGATACTGTCCTGATCGAACAGTTTGGCTCACATCTGGTGGGAACACCGCGTGAGTAACGAGTGTGTTCGACGCCTTGTTTACGGCACAGAAAAAGGATATGAACCGCTCAGCACCGTCAGTTCACGCATCAGCCTCCGATGACTGGGCCACGTGTTGCGCATGCCAGCCCACCCACTTCCACGACGTGCGTTGTTTGCACACCGGGGATGTGGATGAAAGGAGGGGTGACCAAGCGATGACTTTGTCCAGAGGAATGAAGGCCCTCACTTCGGTGCTTGCCTCGGTTAGAGCGTCACGGCTCCCTGGTTGGGGTCCAAAAGACGGTGAACACGTTTGGCTGAATACACTTGCTGACATGGCAAGGAGCCGAACTCAGTGGCGTTCTTGCTGTGAGTTTCTTTGTCCCTCCCTATCCCTTTTAGCTTCCCCCTCCACCTACGATCTCATTTCGCAGCGTAATACATAATAATTTTCTTTTTTGCCTAGTAGCCGGCTGGTAGCTTACCGGAACGATGCCTATCCGTTGCTGGTAGCTCATCTGGCATGCAACTGTTGTATTTATTTTCCTTTTCCTTTATGTATTGCGGCACAGCAGCTGAGGTGTTTCTCATCTCTAGCTGACGTGTATAATGATGTAATGATGATGATCGAACAGAATGGTCTCGCACCAGCAGATACCGTACACTTCGTGAAAAAGGCCAGGACTTTCAACTCAAGCAAACCATTCAAGAGGTTCACGAACAAACCGTCCACAGCATGCTGGTCATGCGGCGAATGGCACTTCGCACGCTTTTGCCCGTTCAAACGTCATATTTGTGAAAGATGTCATAAACGGGACCATAAGGAAAAATACTGCAGTCAGGCCCGGCCGAAAAACGTGAAGTCTTATCGAAAGAGGAATTTCAGAAATGATGACGCAGAGTCTCTGTCCATAGTTGCCACATTCCAAAATGAGTGTAAACCGAGATGACAACTAATCAGCGTTTTGATTAATGAGATTCCAACGAAACTGCAATTCGACACGGCCTCGAACATTACGATTATTTCCAAAAGCACATGAAATCACATAAGGAGGCCAAACATGGTCAAATCTCACAAAGTTGCTCACAATGTATCCGGCGGTGTGCTAAAATTGGTGGACGAACTTGCAGGATTGCATTCAAAGTTGTGGAAGTCGGGGACGTGCTACATTTCAGACCGGCCGAATACGAATCTTCTTAGTCTCGACTGGATTGAAAAGTTGCAACTCTTTGATGATCTGCAATCGAGTCCGAGCATATCCAGACCCATCATCAAAGTCCGTCGAAGACATGATACGCTCGCTGAAGCGAAGATCTGCTTGTGTTTCAAGACGGCTGGGGCCAATGTACGAAATTCAAGGCAACGTGGAGCCTGTGACCAGGAGTCAAACCAGTCTTTAAGGCAAACAAACCGGTACCACATGCAGCTGTCAACTGTTGATCAAGAACTCGATCGACTGGAACGAGTCGAAGTCATCAAAGCCGTCAACTACTCATCATGGGCCACACCCATGTTGGAACAGTGAAGAAGGTAAATGGCAAGGTGCGCGATTGCGCTGACTTCTCAACTGAACTTAGCGCCGCGCAGGACAATCACCAGTACCCATTACCCGTACCGGAAGATATCTTTGCAAAACTGAATGGTGGTAAGTACTTTGCTAAGCTTGATCTGTCCGATGCTTACCTTCAAGTGGATGTTGCCGAAGTCTCGAGGGAGTTGTTGACGATCAACACTCATCGTTGGCTATTCCAATACAACCGCGTGTCCCTTGGTGTGAAAACAGCGCCAGCTATTGTTCAACAATTGATGGATACAATACCAGCAGGCGTTTCTGGAGCCGCTGCATATCTGGGTGATATCATAGTGATGGGTCGAACACCGGAAGAGCTATTTAACTGCCTAGATGAAGTGCTTGGTTGTATACAGTTGTACGGTTTCCGGATCCGTGAGGATAAATGCAGGTGTTTCACGCCAATCCTCAAATACCTCAACTTTATCTTAGGAAAGGGTGGACGACCAGATCCGGAAAATGTAGAAGCCATTAAAATGTCTCCATTAACAGATCTGCAGTCCTTGCGTTCCTTTTGTGGGCTCATTGGCCACTACAGCGCATTCTTGTCTGAGACGTACCGCCTGCGTGCCCCGCTAAACGAGCTACTAGCCAAAGGCCAAAGATGGAACTGGGCATCAGAATGCCAGACGACCTTCGAGCGAGTCAAGACATTGCTATCCTCGAAATTGCTTTTGCCTCATTTTGATCCCTCTAAAGAGATCGTCTTAGTCACAGGTGCATCAAGCCAAGGGATTGGCGCAGTAATTTCACATACGTACACCGATGGATCTCAGAAAGCAATCGACCATGCTACCAGGACACTTACGAAAGTCATAAAGGAATTACAGCCAAATCGAGAAAGAAGCATTGGCCATAGTGCTCGCGGTTAAGAAATTCCACAAAATGCTGTACGGCCGCCGCTTCAAGCTTCTGACAAATCACAAGCCCTTGCTGGTTCGAAAAAGGGCATCTCAGCCTACACCGCCAACCGGCTACAACGTTGGGCTCTTACCTTAACGGGGTATGATTTCGAGATCCACTACCAGTCGACAATTTCCATTGGCCAAGCGGATGCACTGTCACGCCTAATTAATGCCCATCAGCAAGAACATGAGGACACAGCCATTGCCTCGGTCGAGATCGAAGCTGACGTCAACTATCTGGTGAGTGGCGCATTTCACGGTCTACCAATTACCGCAGAAGCTGTACGAACCGAAACACTTCGGAACCCAGTACTCAAGAAAGTCACAGTTCCACAGAACGAGTTGGCCACATTCATGTTCATCTGTGGAATTGCAAAAGTACTACCAGAGGAGCCATTAGCTCTCTACTGTGAACGATTGTATACTATTTTCGGAAACTGGTCATCCCAAATGCCCTTCAGGAGCGCGTTATTCGGCAGTTCCATGCAGGGCATCCTGGGATCAACCGGATGAAGGCGCTTGCCCGCAGCTATGTATTCTGGCCCTTCATGGACAAACAGCTAGAAGAACTAGCTAAACGCTGCCAGAAGTGCGCCAATGCCTTGAAAGTGCCACAAAACCAGAGCTCTATTCGTAGTTAAAAGCTACCAAACCATAGTGCCGCATCCATGTCGACTTCGCAGGACCGATCAACGACCGTAAGTTCCTCATCATAGTCGACTCATACAGCAATGGACCTGAAGCATTTCACATGGGTAGCACAACTACCAATACTAGTTTATCAAGACTGCGCCAAATCTTCAGCAG